AAGAGTGTCAAATAGTCACTCATAACGTACTCTACAAAAATTCATAACTTATTATGAGGCATTAAACCATGGAATATTACTGCAAAATGTTATCACTAGGCTATATATCATTGATGGTATCGAGAGCCATTAGATATAAATTATGATTATTGAGTTGTCGAACTATAGTAAAGAACATGTTTGTCAAAATCAAAGTATATGACATAAATTTTCTTTTTATGAAAGAAATAGTTCAGAATTCTCAAGTGTCAATGAAAATTATAAGCGCAAATCTTGTGATCACGGATTCACTTACAAAAGGTTTATCATCTAAAGTGTTTCATGAGCATGAGGCTTGTATGAGTGTTGTTTATCTTGATGATATGCTAGCATAAAGGAGTTAATTTATGAAGTTCCATTATTTTACATATATTTCTTTACCAAATAAAGTTTTATCATTATTTTGCCTTTTGAAAACTCTTAAATAAAGTTATATATATATGGTTTTAATAACAGTTTATCATACATATTTGGAGCTTTTTTTATAAGTCTTTTGAGTTATGATGTAGTACTAATTGAAAATAGGCATGCTATGTGATCATATTGCATGAAATTTTTATGATATACAACCATACTTAGATTAATGTCATTTATTATATTAGTGTTGTGATGATTGATGGGTCTTGTTACAAGAAAAATACAGTTACAAATATATATTTGGTCCTATGCTAATATTATTGATGGACTAGATTATCTGAAGAAGTTATTTTGAAAAAATAACAAATTTCTTAGCTCATAAAGTATTTAATATTAGAAAATTTTATTTTTGGGCCAACATATATTAATTATACATTATCTATTATCTTTATATTGTTAAGCCTAAAATTATGATGAAATAAAAATTAATTATTTGGCTTATGAGGTGTTTTAACATTTGCATATAATTAATATTGTGTAGAAACTATATATTAATTTTATTTTAATAAAACACTAAATAAAAATATATCACTTAAGTATAAGGCTATGTGCCCCAGTCTAAAATGTTAGTTCTCAAGTTATCCACATCTAACCTCATTTTATTTACTTCTTATTTTGAGTGAAAATAAGAATCTCCATTTTTCGAGAACACTACTTTAGACATGAAAGACCGATAACCCGTATTTGTTATTCAATAGATTCATGTACACTTTTTATTAAATTTTTCGATGATTTGACATGAGATTCAGATTTGATGAATTTGATTTTGCATCTTTTATTATTTTTCTTTTGCATATTTTATACCTGAACTTTCATATTTACACTAATAATGCTCAAATTTTTAAAATCACATAAAAATTGAGCCATTATTATTTTTTAAAAAGTAAAATATATTTTTATGCATAGATTTAAAAGTCCAAAGTTTATATGTATAAATATAAAAATTTATAAGTGTGTTGAATACATAAGAATTATGTACTACATATCTAAATTTTTCTAAATTTTGTCTCAGGTCCCGCTTCCCAAAATTGTTACTTCAAACCCGAAATAACGAGAATTTTTTTCATATGAAGTACGTACACAGCTCTGCGTGCGGACTTCCAGTAATATGTCGTCACGTGGAGGTTATTGTGGGATTATTGAAGTAAAATCACAGAGGTTATTGGAGGATTATTGAGGGTTAATGCAGAAGCTTATTGAAATGAAACCGCGGAGGTTATTGTGGTGTTATTGGAGTAGAACCATATAGGTTATTCAAAGTTATTAAGGGGTTATTACGGCGTTATTGAAGTTCATGTCTCAATAACCCTCCAATAATCCCCCATAACTCCTCATATAACCTCCAGGATCATTCCACTTCAATTTTTTCAAGTAAGCCCGGTACAACACACATGAAGATATATCACTGATCCATCCGCCTGCACATGAAGAAATATTACATCAGTACTACGCACGTAAAAATAACGTGCGTAGCCAATCAAAACACGCCACGACATCTTGCGCGGTAGAGCAAAAAAAACGGCGCAGTAACACGGGGAATATTCCCTCCTGTGTTATTCATGTGTTATTGCGCGTTATTCATGTGTTATTGCGTGTTATTCATGTGTTATTGATGTGTTATTGTGTTATTATAACACCAAAAATATTTTCAGGATACAATAACACATGAATAACACATGAATAACACACAATAACACTTGAATAACACGGGAAATATTCCCGACAGAGAAAAAAACGGCGCAGTAACACGGGGGAATATTCTCTCCCATGTTATTCTTGTGTTATTGTGTGTTATTAATGTGTTATTCATGTGTTATTGTGTTATTATAACATCAGGAATATTCCCAGGATACAATAACACATGAATAACACACAATAACACATGAATAACACGGGGAGGAATACTCCCCGTGTTACTGCGTCGCGTGGGATATCGTGGCGTGATTTCATTGGGTACGCACGTTCCTCTACGTGCGTAGTACTGATGTAATGTGATTGCTCCAAAATCACCCATGTTGGAATATGGGCTATGATATACATCCCGCGGCCAGTTTGTGGAAAAAATATTACCTCAGGAGTACCGATGCATCAGTACTTCAATGAGGGAGTGCCACGTAGGCAATGATCCCACCGTGGTGCCTACGTGGCACCCCCTCATTGGAGTACTGATGCATGAATACTCCTGAGGTAATATTTATTTTTTTCCAAAGGCAGGCTTTCTGGGTGTCTTCGCCTTCTTCCGACTTTCTCAGCTTTGAGGCTCCGGCGAAGCACTGTTGATTTTTCCACACTGTATCGAAGCCTTCCCTGTTCTGTAGTTTTGAGGTCATTCCATATACTATATAGATACGATGCATTTATCTTTATTCTTTGTTTTGCTTTTTTCCCGGGGATTTCTTCTCCTCTATGTAGGTCAGAGGGAAGACATTCAGAAATGTTGTGAAATATACAGTTCTAGTTTCTCCTTCGTGTAAACATTGTCAATGCTAATGTTGAGGGAAGGTCCCTCTAAAGGGCCCTTTTTGATGGTTAGGTTAGAGAATCTGCTATAGAGTTGGTATGCCCAAATGATGTAGTTGTCTCCATTGGATTTCTCCCAATTTCTGAAGCTTGGCTTGCTGGGGCTTTTATTCTCTTGTGAGAGAACACCATGAAATTTTAAATTGGAGAAGAAAATAGAACTGGTTCGGAGAGTTGTATATAGACAAGAATCCTGTGTGTTTAGAATAGCTTAAAAGAAACTAATGCTTTCTAGAATGAATGAAGCTGGCACTGGTCGTAAACACTACGAATTTCCATAAATTTGAACATTTATAAATTTAATCGTCCTAAGGGTACGTTTTTCCAGGGATCTATATTTAATTTACCTTACTATATGTATCAAGGACAGCACTGCCAGGATTATCAACTGGAGTCTGCAAAGTCTAATAGTTTTTAACCATTTGTGTTACACTTTTCTGCCAGAAACACAGGTTTTCATGGCTCCACTCATTGGTTCGGTTTCTACAAGTTATTCTGGATGAGACACCTCTGAAAGACCATGGACACTGCTATCTTTTCGCCTTCTTCTCTTTTCCATGATGAAGATGATGAAGGTAGCACTTTTATCTCGTACAGTACTTCTGTTAAAAATTTGAAAGTCATAAGTAAAATTTGGTAAATTATTTTTGGCAGGCAAGGATGTTGAAGAAGCTAACCTAAATCAACTCCAGAATTATGAAGAGAGAACTCATACTTTTGCTGGCGTGGTATTCTTCTTCTCATCTATCATGATGTCATTTTTTGCAGTTAGACCTTCATGTATTTGCAAGATCATTTGTTAGTATCAACTGTGGAGATTTTTTTCTTTTCTGATGAGTCTCAAAGTATACTTGTCCCTATTTTCTTTGAGATGTGAGTGCTGGGACCTGTTCTATTTGAGTTCAAAATACTCAAATTGCTCTATAATCGATTATGTTTAATCATAATGTTTTTCACTAGGGTTGATTGATCGACTTGGTATATGTGCACTAAACATTCATGTTTGGGGTTTCATTAACACTTCAGCACTTCAGCAGTGGTTTCAACAAGCCATGATTGATTGATTTGGTTACATTTTCTCCCATTCACTCATAATTCCTAACAAGCACATTGTTTTTCACTAGGGTTGATTGATTGACTTGGTATATGTGGCTAATCGGCTAAGCCTTTTTCTAAACAAATGATGTTTTTTTGGGTCATTGTTTTTCTAAACGAATGAATGTTGTTATTTTGCAAGTGTTGTTTCAGAACTTGCAGAGAAACAAATTTTTTGGTTAAATCCTATTGGGATTTGGGAGTGCTTAATTAAAAGTTTTCCTCTTCATTTGCATTTTAAAGAAAATTAGGTTAATATTTTGAATTTTGAGAGTTGATTGGCACTTTGTTTCCTTTTTAGAGTTTTTGTCCTCTGTTTATGTTGAATGTCGGGCCGCTCCGGTGAAAACTGGGGTAATTTGGTTCATTTGGTAGATCATATATGCTCATGTGAATATAGTTCAAGTTGAATCTGAGACGTAATGAACATAATTGAAAACCTAAAATTTTCTTTGAACTGTATCAACTATAAAGTACTTTCATAGCTTCTGATAGCCTTTCTTTGGATGTATCAAGAAAAGGTAAAGCACTTAATTTTGGTTATTTAAAGACTACTCAAGGTTTAGGTTTACTTCAAAAATTTCTCCTTAGTAAATCAACAAAAGCTAAAAGAACATCATGAGAGATTTATTCTTGAAGATTTCTATAGCAGTGCATTTGATTCTAGAAGTTTTATTTTAGACCTTTCACAAATAATTTGGTTTGCCAAAAACCGAACTGTTCAAACCGAATTAAACTTCGATTTGACTTGTTTGATTCTACCCAAAATTATATTTAGTTCAGTAGTTCAGTTTCTAGATTTCGGTTTCGATCGATTGACCCAAGTTTAAAACCGATCCATCCGAACCGACTGAATGCACACACTTGATAGACAACTTACCACCCCAGATAATTGCGTGTTTAATACCAGCCAGAGGCGAGTAAGAACCTTTCCACCTCAGATAATTGTGGTGTTTAGATTGTTAACCATTGTGCCGAAGAGATAATATTAGTCAGAGCTGCATTAGGTTATGTTTTTACGGTGCTCTATGACAGACAAATGTATATGTTATGAGTATAAAATAAAAGTATAGTTAAATTTAATGCATATAGAAGCTTAGAGTATTTTATTGAGTAAAGGTCATTGATGTATTAACATATTATAAAATTTCTTATAGACATATGTAAGACCACCATACTATAGTTTTTTTTTATAGAAATATGAAAGACCATTATGCATTTTATTTTCTTCTCCTTGGGTTATTACAGTTTGGAAATGTGATTACTTCTTGTTTTCTATAGATAAATTATTTTGTTACTTTAATATTTTTTTTCAAATTTTATGCTTTTGAATAAGATGAATAGAAGATGAATTAATGTGCACATGAGACGTGAACAACAACTGGAAAGGTAAAAACTTGTACCTGTTAATTAAATTGCTTTATTTAATGGCTCTTTCATGAATATTTGAATATCAAACTATTAGTGATAAAAATATAATAGAAGATAATTTATTTTCGTCGTCTAACCGTCAATTCCCATCTTGATTAATTCTAAGCCCTTGGCCAGATTGTGACAAAAGTCGTATTAGAGTAATGTTTAAATTAAAAAATATGCATCTTAATGAAAGAGCCATACGTATGATTGAATTAAGTTGTAAATAATAGAACTTCAAATTTTTAGTCGAGTCTAATTTAATTATTTCGTTTTTATTTTAGAATTATGAATGACTAGGAGGAAAATATCATGGATGATAGAGGAGAGTTTGATATACTCTAAAATTTTATAATCAATGCTGATGCTTTTGCATATATGATATGCTACAGTGACTTGATAATTAGGAACTCTCAGCCTCAAGCTATTAGCAGTGGGGGAGTATTGATGGATAAGTACTTTAAGCTCTTTTAGGATATGAGATAACATTTGTTTTCTAGAGCAAGAGGGCCAACGAAAGTTGAAAATTGTTATTGAGAATGGAGAAGATTATAGATAAGTTGTCATATCCACCGGAGAGGAGAGTTACCCTTGCCATATTTTCTTTTGAGAGAGAAGCTGAGAGAAGGTGGCAAGCTTAGTTACATGAGAAATTTGATTGTCTACCTAGCCCTTCGGTACATTGGGACAAGTTTATGAGAATTTTGAGAGATTGGTTTGCCCCAATGTCAGTCAGGAGACAGATGCAAAATAAATTTATTATGTTTTTTCAGGAAGGTTGATCGACTATGTAATACGAAGCAAAGTTTACTATGTTGTTGAGATATGCACCACAGATCATTCCAATTACAGAGGATAAATGTCATAGATTTCTTTTTGGATTGAAGGATTTAATTAAACAATCACTATTGCCACTTTGGATTGAAGACTATTCAATGCTGATGGAGAGGACTAGGCAGGCGAAAATTAATTTTCAGCAGTCTTAGAAGCGTAAGTACATACACAAGGGGAGAGTTTGGAAGAAATCTCATCAACAGTTTATCCTGAAGAATCTAATATGAAGAAGATAAAGTTTTACACTGGTAGAGTTATTAGTCAGATTGACAACAATATTATAGAACTATGTGTTAAGTGTGAGAAACAACATCATGATGAATGTTTATTTGGTTTGAAGGTGTGCTACTTATGAAGATAACTTGATCATCCGATAAGGAATTGTTCTAGTTCTGCTCAGATATCCAAACCAAATTGTTAAGTCAAGAAGTGATTCAGCTTAAAAGAATTTTTAGGAGGGATCTACTTCTAGAAGTGGTCAGCAGAGAATGAAAAAAGGCGATATTGTGACTCATAAGGAGCAACCAATGCAAAACATTCAACCTAGAGTCATTTCCTTAACTCACAAGAATCTGAAGAACATAATGATAATGACACATATGCTAATTAAGTTTGAAAACTGAGATGATTTATTTTGGGTGTCATTTAGTTATCTATTGTCATCTTTATGTATTTTCATTTTAGAAGTTGGGTGTGTTAATTCACATTACTTTATTTAGGATATGTTATTTTAGTTATGTTATGTTTCAGATATTTGGGGAGTATTAGTTGAATTATTTTATTTCAGATGAAAGCTTCATCACATCTGTTTTTGTTATCATTTAACAAGATTGAGATTTTTATGATAATCTATAAGTAGTTTATATTTCATCTGTATAATAATTAGCTGAGGTGAAATTCATAAATTTCGAGGACGAAATTTTAATAAGGATAGACTGTTATTACTGTAAATTAAATAAAACAATAGTGATAAAAATTCATGGAATAAAGGCATCTCTACGATTTCAGCTTAATAGTCGCATACCCCGTTCAAACTGATGGAAACATAGAATGTGAAGAAGTCAGAGAGAGAGAAATTCAAAGCATGAAGAAGATGAGGTATGCCCTAAATGAGTAAAGAGGAAGAAGGAGACGATGCCACGGTGGGTATTTGTCTTGCATGAAGGCAAGTCACATGGGGGCGACGCTCGATTTCTTACGTGCGGGAGACTATCAAACCCTTGTCGAATGATATCAAAGAAGGAGAAGAAGACGTGCTTGCGGGGCGAGGAAGCAAACATTTCGTGTGCGTCGTTTGTGGCTTCAAGAAGGAGAGGAGAAGGAAGTTGCGTGTAAGTGAGGCAAGCGGCTCTACGTGCGATAAGTCTGAAATATCAAGTGTTCTTTCACATATAAAAATTTATTAGAGCAAAAAAAAAAAAAACTCCAATTAAGTAATCACAATACCCTATTTTAAATGGTTAGAAAAGAAAAAAAATCGAATGTTAGCATTTTACCTTTTGATGGAAAGAGATGAAAATTGGGAAACCCTAGACATCTTCCTCCACTACAACTTCACTTAAATGCCTATTCTCATTGTAATTGCAAACCTTTGTTTGAGCTTGACTGAAATCTACCTTGCAAGCATCACCACCCTCGCTCTCTTGCTTCTCTGTTTGCTCGACCACATGCTCCTGCTCAGGCGTTTGCTAGCCCTCTCTTCATCTTCCTCAATTAAGCCTTCTTGTTCTCTATTTACCCGCTCGATTCTGCTCTCCCCCCTCTATTTGTCTCCCCTTTTAACATGAAACCAACTAGCTTTTGTTCAATTGAACAAGCACTAGTCCGTTCAAATACCCTTTTTTATTTTATTTTATTTTTTAAATTTGTTTTGGTTATTATAGGTGTCCTTGTTGACTTGAATATTGAGAAATTTCACCTATGGTGCTTGTTCTCCATATTTATCTTCTATTGATTCTAAAGTCCCGCTAGCTATAATTTCATTGTTATACCGAGAAATAACTTCTTTTTTAGCCACGCTTTGTTTAATTCTATGGATATTTGGCTATGGTGTTCTATAATTCTCTTTTCTTTTCTCAAGGAACAAAGTCATTCTTTAGAGCTTTATTGCAAGGCATCTATTTTAAAATCTTATTACATATCCTTAGGATTTTATGAGCCATGCTTCTTTGTGTGCTCGACCGCATGCTCCTGCTCAAGCACTTGCTAGCCCTCTCTTCCTCTTCCTCTTCCTCTTCCTCGATCAAGCCCTCTTGTTCTCTATTTACCCGCTTGATTCTGCTCTCCCCCCTCTATTTGTCTCCCCTTATAACTTGAAACCGACTAGCTTTTTTTTTCAATTGAACAGGCACTAGTCCGTTCAAATACTCTTTATTTTATTTTATTTTATTTTTTTAATATTGTTTTGGTTATTACAGGTGTCCCCCGTTGACTTGAAAATTAGAATTTTCACCTATGGTGCTTCTCTATATTCATCTTCTACTGGTTCTAAAGCCCCACCAGCTATAATTTCATTGTTATACCGAGAAATAACTTCTTTATGAGCCATGCTTTATTTAATTCTATGGATATTTTTCTATGGTGTTCTATAATTCTCTTTTCTTTTCTCAAGGAACTGAGTCATGCTTTAGAGCTTTATTGCAAGACATCTATTTTAAAGTCTTATTACAAATACTTAGGATTTTTCTCAAATTTGAATGAATTGTTCAATAAAGTATATCTCACTGTTCTATGCATGCAGGTACTAACTATTAGAGAGTTTTCATTTCATCAATTCAATGCAAATTTACTATGGCCAGGAACCTTTGCATTCTGTGAGTGGTTAAGTCAAAATAGATCTCTCATAGAAGGACAGCGCATCTTGGAGTTGGGAAGGTTGGTTAGCATATTTTATAAAAGAAAAGAAATTTCTAATTTAACGCTTACTCATAAATTATTGCATTTCCTTGCTCTTGAAATGTTGCATGCATTGATGATTTGCAATTATAATGATCCTTTGTAGGGTGCTTTCTATAAGTATTTAGTCAAAGTGAAATGTCTAACACTTCTTTGCTTGAATTGAATAACCTACTTGGTGTTACTGAAGGATAGTTATGTAAATAAGATGTCCACTTTCAAAGACTATGGACAAGAGAATTTAATAAAAGCATGATTTGTGTTATGGGGTTCTAGCGGGGGAAATCACATGAAATCAACTGAAAAGTGGTTTGGAGAATTTAATAGATGCATGAATTGTGTTCTAGCGGTGTAGATGGGAAATCATAGGAAACCAACTGTGAAGTAGTTTGGAATTTGCTGATTGGCTCCAATCATCATTAGTGTTATATTGTTATCCTACCTACTTGCAATAAGTTTTCTGAATCCTTATTTTCCATTCAATTTTGTTGAGTGCTCTTGAAGTTAACTCTAAATTGAGAAAAGACTTATGCCCATTTTCTAGACTTGTTATTTTTAATCTACTTATTTTCTTTTATAATTGTCTCATATAGCTATCTAAATATCTTATTAGTGCATTTTCTACCGTCTATTTTACATAAATTAACTACCCAAGTTTATTTTTTATCATCATATTTTAAGTTTATGCGACTTCTACCATCTATTAAGTTAAATCATTTCTTAATTTGCTATGCCCAGCTTTGTGGTGTTTTGTCTAAACATTCTCATTTCTTTCATTACTAACTTGGCGACGTTTGACTTATTTGTTTCCCAACACCGGGATCCATATAACAGATGATTTATTTATATGTTGTAAAATTTACCTTTGATTCATCTTGAAATTTCTTAGTGTATACTTTGGCATTTTTAAAATTTTTTTTTCCAATTACACTTAGATTTATAAATTACATCCTCTTCTATGTCCACATTATTTTTAAAAATAGTTCAAAGATCATTTAGCCTATCACATTTACGAAAAAATAAAATAAATTAAAATAAAAAACCTATCATATTAAGGTATCACTTAGTCTTTCAACAACAATTTTTAATAAATAATCAATCTTACTCGTTAGAATTTTGATATCACATACTTAATGCTTTCTACTAATGAAGAAAAAATTGGGAGGCAATATTCACATAATTCTTATGACCAAGTTTCAACCAAAAGGCTACATAAAAAGGGGAATCGATATCTCCTAATTTACAATCTTACCAGATATATCCAGCCTAAGCATGGAAATGAAATAATTCTGGAATAAACATTAATAGGAACAGAATAAAAACTAATCAGGGAGTTCCTCAAATTGTCTCCAATTAACTTATGTGTCATTCCTTTGATGGTCAATTTGGGCTCACCATGGAAAGGAGTTCGATCCTCCTAGATTTTCACACTCTCCCTCAAGCTTGGTCATACATGTTGTATAGACCAAGCTTAGTATTAAAGTCCAAGAAGTTGTCTAAAGGAAGAGCTTTGGTGAGACTTCAAAAACTTGGTGTGTCGGGAGGTAACTTAGTTGTATAATTTTACCATTAACTTTTTCAGAGATAAAGTCTATCAATTTCAATATGTTTGGTCCTTTCATGATACACAGAGTTATTGACAATACTAAAATAGCTACTTGATTGTCACAAAACATTTGTTTAGGCTAATCAGACATATACCCCAATCCTCTCTATAATTATGATTCCATATCTCTTCACAGATTCTTAAGCTAAGTACCCAATACTCTAATTCTACACTCCTTCTAGAAACAATAACTTACTTCTTACTTTTCCATGTGATCTAGTTTTCCCATACATAGGAACAATAACATGTAGTCGATATTCATTTAATGATTTTCCCATCGCAACTTGCAGCAGTGTAGATTTCTACCTCACTATTTATGGTTATCTCCAAAATTAATTCATAATCAGAAGTCTTCTTGAGAAATCTCAAGATCCTGTACACTATTTTCAAATGTTTTTCATTTGGGTTATTCACATGTTAGCTCACAATATTGATAGAGTATGCAATATCTGACCTAGTATGTGACAGGTAGATGAGTTTTCCCATCAATCTTTGATATCTTTTTGTCGGGATATACTTTTTTCTCTTCTATTGATATGTTAGCTCACAATAAGTGACAGAGTATGCAATATCTACAGGTATATTTTTTTGTCCCCTATAGGATTTCTTGTCTAGATTCATTAGGGTATTGGCAAGTTTACATCCAATCATCTCTGCTCCTTTAGCAAATCTAGGATATATTTCTTCTATGATATAACAATGCCCTTCTTGAACTTTTCTACCTCCATACCTAGTAAATATCTCATGGTTCGTATGTTTTTTATTTCAAACTCAATGGAAAGCAGTTTTTCGATTTTAAGAATTTCTTTTTCATCTCACAAATAAGAATGATATCATTCGACATACTATCAATGCAACAATCTTATCTCCTTGAGTGTCTGTTATGAACAATGTATGATCAATTTAATTTTGAGAATATTCATAAGATCTCATAGTTTTAACAATCTTTCAAACCATACCCTTGATAATTGTTTAAAACCATTGGCAAACTTTCTTAGTTTTCATACTAGGTGTTTATTAGAATCATTCATAAGTTCTGGTGGCAGCTCCATGTACACTTCTTCTTTAAGATCTCCATTCAGGAAGATATTTTTTATATCAAGCTGATGCATTCCCCACTCCTTGTTAACTGCTTCGGAGAAGAGAACTTTGATAGTGTTCAGTTTGGCAATTGGTGCAAAAGTCTCATAATAGTTAATCTCATAGGCTTGAGTGAAACCTTTTACTACCAATCTAGCTTTGAATATCTCAATACCACCATCAACCATGCACTTGATGTTGAATACTAATTTACATCCAACTGGCATTTTATCTTTAGGAAGTTTAGTATGAATTCATCTGTCATTATGCTTTAGTGCTTGAATCTCTTCTTCAACTGTTTTCCCAAAATTTAGATTTTTAAGAGCTTCATGAATGGATTAAGGAATCTGCACCCTATCAAAGTTAGATATAAAAGTTTTATAGGGTGATGATAACTACACATAAGTTACATATCTCTGAATTGTGTATTTAGTACAATTTTCTTGTCATCGGCACCAGAAGAGGAAGGAGACAACTCATGCGTTCTAGATTCCTTACTCGAAATTTCAGGTGAGTGTGGACTCGATTTTCAGTTTGAATAGTTCCATCTTTGTAAGTTGTTTTCATTTGCCAAGGTTTTTCTTCCTTCTTGTGTACACAAAGTTTTTTGTTATGTACTTCAGGTTGGGTTGATTGGACATCCTCAAATAGGATATTTTAACACAGTGGTATTTGGGAGATAGAAGGGTTAGGTGGAACAGGGGTAGGTTGTGAGGCAGTGTAGGTGTTATCAAGTGTATCCCAAAATTAATGTTTATTTGCACTCTCCCTCTGAACATTAAAGTTGGGATAATATGATTGTTTTTCAAAAGATGTGACAATTATATAGTTGTAGTATTTTCTGGTAACATGTGAGTAGCATTTATAGCTCTTTTTGTTGGAGGTATACCCAAGAAATATATATTTGATGGATTTAGTTTCAAGTTTCATGTGGTTTGTGGAATGAATGTGAACAAAAGATGCACACTCAAAAAATTTAAATGTTATAGTAGAAGAGAGAACTTTGATGGAGCGATAGATATCCATTAAGAAATGAAATAGTGGTTTGAAATTAAATATCCGGCTAGAATTTAAATGGTATAGATAGAAGAGAAAACTCTGATGGGGGGATAGATATCTTCGGCTAGAATGAATGTGAACAAAAGATGCACTAAAAAAAATTAAATGGTATAGTAGAAGAGAAAACTCTAATGAATGTGAACAAAACTCCGGCTAGAATGAATGTGAACAAAACTCCGGCTAAAATGAATGTGAACAAAAGATGCACACTCAAAAAATTTAAATGGTATTTAGCATAGAAAACTCTGATGGGGGGATAGATATCCATTAGGACATGAAATAGTGTTTTGAAATTAATTATCCTACTAGACATTCGATTGACAATGAATATTGCGGTAAGAACTGCTTCTCCCCCAAAAGTATTTTAAAACTTGATGGTAAATGATAATTGAGCGGGATACTTCAAGAAGTTGTTTCTTCTTTCTCTCAATTATCTCATTTTATTATGAGATATCAATACATGAGCTCACATGGATAATTTAATTTTTTTAAAGGTAGGATTTAATGATGGAGTTAAAATATTCATTTGCATTAGCAATTTTGAGGATTTAGATTTTGCATTGGAATTAAGTTTAAATCATTTTAGGGATGGTTTGGAAGATTTTGGTTGTTTCAGATTTCCCCTTGATTAGGAATATTCACTTGGTTCTAGTGTAATTAATAATGAATGAGATAAACCATCTAGCCCCATTTATGGTTTTTACTTTTGGAAGTCCTTAAATATCACTATGAATGATTAAAAAGGATGTAAGGTTTGTATTGGGTTATGGGATAAACATTTCTAATGTGTTAGGCAAGTTGACAAATCTCATATTGATAAGTACTAGGTTTTTTATTGATATACAAATGATGATATATCCTTATAACATAATAAAAATTAGGATGATTCGGGCGAAAATGTCATAACATGATTTATTTTTTAACAGATATATTCAACAGACCCAAAGACTTGAGGAAAAGATGGTGGGACCACCTGTGTGTTTAGAGAGAGATTTTCCTTGAGCAAGTATAAACCTTGATGCATTTCAACACTGCCAATCACCTTCCCTGAATCTATTACATGAAATTCACAAGAGTTGCAATGAATTTAATTATATATTTCGTATCATGAGTAAGCTTACTGATTGAAGTTAAATTACAGTCCAACTATGGAACACCAGTTGTGGAATATATAAAATAGAGGAAATAGTAGATATCTTGAGAGAGCTCCACATCTAATTTTCCATCACTTTTTAAGTGTGATCCATCAACAAATCTAACAAATGAAGATATAGAAGTCGTTTGATAGTTGACTAGAGCATTAGAAGCTCCTAAATTTATGATCCAAAGTCTAAATCTCCCATTATTGGTAAAATGAGAAAATGATATATCACCTTGGTGTGCTATTAGACTGGTGTGTTGTTTTGAATTTACCCCAATGAGTTTTTTCAGTAATTCAAGTTGTTCTTTGGTGAATGGTTCAGGTGACTCTTTAAAAGTGGTAGCAGCATTAGTCTTGCTTTCTTGATCTTTTCTTCCATGTCCAGGTTTTCAATCTATATGATTTCCATGAAGTTTCCAATAGTTATTTTTGAGGTTCCCAATTTTCTTGTACTAGTCACATGTGAGACGATTCTTCTTGAATTTTGAATCATGGGAAGAATTATGGGAGTGCAAAGCTGAGCTTTCAACACTTGATGAACTCTCATTTCTAGTCATCATAATCTTCTTTCTACTCTTCTTTATAACTTCAATAAATGCTTCACGGGTAGATGGAAGAGGCTTTATTCCTAACATTCTCTCTCTTCATTCAATTCCTTAGTCCCCACTAGGAATTGGATAGTTCTCTTGTTCTCGGTTATGATTTATACATCATTGCATCATGTGGACATTTTCAAACAAATGTCTCAAACATATCCATTTGTAGCAAATACTTTGTCAAGGTATTGAAATATTGAGCAATATTTAGCTCTTTTTGACGAAGATCATGTAGTTTGGTTTCGATCTCAAATAATTCTACAGTATTCTCACTGCTAGAATAAGTTTCTCTTGCAGCCTCTCATATATATATTTTTTGGTTATTTTATAGAGCAAAAAAAATTCTCCTACTTCAGTGGTCATTGAGTTGACTTGCCAAGACATAATCATATGGTCTTGAATCTTCTTTGTGTGATGGTTAGGATTAGTGAGATCAGGAACTGCGCCCTTCCTGTGAGATGTTCCTCTTGTCCTTTTTCATAAATATACATAAACACGGATTGAGAACACTAAGAGAGTTATGACCATTAACTTTATTGTTTGTGATAAAGGATGAGAGTTCAGGGGTTGTTGGACAAAATTCCTGGTCTCTGATTCAAAATTAATCTTTGGAGTAGAATTAGACATTTCTATTCCGTTCTTAGTCATAACTCTATGCGTGTTTAGGGTTGGATAAGGGAATTGGTTGTTGGTTGTGCAGAAATAGAGTCCAACGACTTTGATATGGAGCAGAGGGCTTGTAAGCTGGCTGGAGAGATTCTGATTGTTGGATGACTGTTGGAAAGGCTCTGGTGGTTGTAGGAGCGAATAGATGAGGGCATGTAGGTTGAAGGAGAGCTAGGGTTTGTTTCCTTATAATGTAAAGCTTCTTTTGAAAAAATGCAGATGACGTCATCGAAGACATTTCAAGATGCAATGAACGAAGCCGAAGACGTCGATTTGTTCGATCGACACAGATGACACGGGAAGAAGGCTATGAAGACATTCAAAGCCTTGTTGGCATCATTCGAAGATGACAAAAACTTCAAATGAAATCAAATATGCAGATGATACCGAACGAAGCAGACGCGGACGAAATAGTTCGACGATTCTCTAATACCATGAAGAAAAATGTGGGAGAGAGTATTCTCATAATTCTTTTTACCAATTTTCAACCAAAAGGCTACATATACAGGAAAAGTGATACCTCCTGGTTTACAATCTTATTAAATATATTTACCCCAACACTGAAAGAAAATACTTTTGAAATAAACATAAATATAAATAGAATAAAAACTTATCAAGGAGTTTCCCAAATTGTATTCAATTAATCCATTCATCATTTTTTGGATGGTCAGCTTGGGCCCATCATAGAAAGGAAGCCGATCCTCATAGATTTCCACAACTAGCCTTAAGCCTCTTCTAAAATTTTCCTTTGTTTCAATTATTAGAGATTTATCATTTTTCAAATATTATACACTATTGTATCTAATTTTTAATACCCGAAGACTTCTCCCTTAATTATATAACTCTTCAATTTGATCCTTTTATATTACCACAAGGTTGGACTTCTTAGCTGCATTTTATAAGTCTTATGTTTGATTCCCCCATAATTATCATAATTCAAAAAAAAAAAAAAATTGTTCTTGAATATTAGCATCAAAATACTGCTCTAATCATAATTGTTAACCTAGCATTTAAGATTCAAAAAAAAATTTGTTAAATTAACCTCTCCAATATCTCCGTAGTCCTCCAAAGCTCAAGAAGGATATCATTTTGACCTAAAGTACTATCTTTATTCATATTCTTAAGAGCCAAGCGAACTTCAATTAACTAGATCTTTCTATTTGTATACTTTATGATTCTATTTATGAGGCTTTTCTAGAAAGTTTCCCTTAAAGCTCTCATTTAATTTCTAGAAAATTTTTTATCTTTTTTTGTCTTCATATCTTTAACGTAGATCCTATTATTTTTCACTTGTGATACATCTTAATTAAATCTGAATTTTTAGATATTCTACGTCATGTCAAATTATTTCTTTTACTTAATGCCTAGCCTATTATATGTCGTAAAAATGTGTAGCTTTTGGTATGAGCGAAATAGAACAATACCATGTGTAGGCGCACAAATGCTTCTCATTGTTTACTTATCCTGCAATATGCATTTACCCAGCACATGTATGTTAGCCCCATACCTACACATGATAACAAAAACACTTGTACATGGAGTTTTGGTGAAAACAAATGCAACAACTCCAAGAGGAAAACATAGGCACTCCCACCCTTCGCATATGAATAAGAGTGATGGCACCAACATATAATTTTATAGTCTTTGAATCAATTCAATGTGTTTCGGCATCCTTGTTTCTTGTTGCTTACATTATAGGATGTGAAATTTTGTGTGTGGGAGTGATGAAACGGTAATCCAAATATTCGTTTATACTTGATCATCTTTCTTGAGAGGCAATTGTCCCATCAGTTTTAACCCTCCACTTTTTTTGGTGTGGAAATTTACATACATACCACACAACTCTTATGTATTTACTTATCTAACACCCAAGGTTTGATATTTACACTTATAACACCTTGGTGTCATGGTAGTGATATTGATATTTTTGATGTGATGTTAAAGATTTGAGTGGCATGCATGTAAATATGAATGTTTAGGTGTTAGATGTGTAACTACATAAGAATTGTGTGGTATGTATGTAAATGCCCCTTTTTTTTGCTTTTCCAAGTAGATATAGTTGGCATGAAATATTCTCTCTTTTTCAGTGGAACTGGAGCTTTGGCCATTTTCATCAGAAGATTTTTTGGAGTCGACATCACTACATCTGATTTTGATGATGAGGAAGTGGAAGAAAATATAGCTTACAATTGCAAAGCTAATGAAGTAAAGGTCTTGCCACATGTTAGACGTAAGTTATTGCCTAATTATATTAGAAACATTAATGCTCTATTTTTTGAAATAAAATTTGCAATTATTGTCCATGCAATTGAGTTTATTTGAATGTTTTTTACGTGTCATAGGTATGAGAACAATCTATGTGTGAATAAGACTAATTAAAAAAAATATGTTTGATCAAAATTTTCATATATGAAATGTTTGCAAATATTATTTTATGTTATATATTTTATTACACTTTCTTTATTTCGCACTGATCCTTAAAATCATCTTTCTGGAACAAACATGTTGACATTAGTTTATGGTGAACCGTTCAAAAAATTTGCTTAAGCGAAACTGTGGATGCTCCAATGAATTATGAGTCGCTCAGTCTGTGCACTTTCTTTTCTATACAGTCATGAATACATATCTGGAATCTAATATGATCCTCCTTGATGCTTTGTTGATTTACGACACTAAATAATCCAATGGTTTTTTGCACTGGTTTATGTATTTATCATATAAAATTCAAACAAATCAATCAGTTTTTGTCCTCTTCGTCAGTCTTACAACCCTTTAATAAAAAAGATCTTTTTTTTCTCAGCTGGCTTCTGCTTATCGCCATTTAAGCATTTGTTTTTGCATCCTCAATTTTTAATATGACCTGACATCGATTAAAAATTTGTTGTGAAGGCTGATCATTAATGGATTATAGCCTTCCATAATTTTTTTTGCATTGGCTTCTTAATTTACAATCTAATCACCCAAATTGGTGCCCCTTGTTAGCCTTTTATCAACGGGTTGGTACTTAGCTTGTTCTTTGCTGATAGTTATTTTAACATTTATTTTTGCACCTCTTTTCATTTTTTGACATTGCATGTATTTAAATTATAATAAGTTGTCTATTTAAACCAGACCTGATTCCCCTTCTTTTTTACATCTCCATAATTCCATCCTTAAGGCTCAAGTCATTTTTTCCTTTGCCATCTACGTTCGAAGTAGAGCAATTCATTTGTAGAATATTATGTCAGTAAATATTTTGTTTTGTTATTAATAACTCTATCACACGACTATGTGATTTATTATTGACTAACAAAGGAAATCAGAATGTTGCAAAGGCTTGTCTTAAGCCTCAACAGGCTCGTATTTTAAGAAATTATGACATTAACACCCATTTTGAAAAGAGAACCAAAATCCACTTTTTGGCTGATGGAAGATCAAAATTGTGGCATCAACAATGCATATTTTTTGTTGCGTCTTTAATTATACATTATTTATCCCGAAACCAGTTTTCTGTATCCACTCATATTGTGTCATTCATCTTTTCTTGTTTTTCATATTAACTTCTGTTTGGCCGTTATTTGTTCACAAGTTTACGCTACCCTTTTCTATTTATTGCGCATTTTTTAAAGTGAAAAACCTGTTTTCCATTGACACCAGGCCAAAAAATATTGCTAGTTAGGTAATTCTCTTACCAAAATGAGTGTTGATATAACGATTTATTGAAATGCCGCGCTTCAAGACGATTAGATGAGCCTCCCTCAACTTCTTGAATTCGTTGTGATGCTGAATAATAATTCAAGTCAAAATTACAAATAAGAAGTTAAGAGGGATAAATTAAATCACGACTCTTCTAATACTCTTTGATCCCAAAGAAGAAACAAGATGACTGTCAAAACAGTAAATCACATAAAAAATTTCTGGAATCTGGAAATATTAACATGGGCATGACATCATTCTAGGGTTCCTAGAAGGTGTATGTTGATCTAAACAAGTGTTGGGGATGTTGTAAGGTTGATTGAAGCCGTGGCTAATGGTACACAACAAGGATTTGAAATGGGAAATGCAGTAGGTTGTTTTCTGGAAATAAATAAAAAAAAAGAAGAAACTGTTACAGGATATACTATTCGGCAAGGGTATGCTCTCCGTCATGACTCGGCAGTGAACTTGGAATTAATTAAGGCGGGAACTGAAGATTAGATGGTAGGAATTAAATTTTCTATCACTAGCTGTTAATAAATGAAAGAGCTACTAAAGAAATTAAATTAAGCGATATAATTAAATTCACCTCATTCTAGGTTGTTCACATCTTCTATAAATATTTTCTCTTCCATTAATCATCTTTAAATTAATTAATTTGACATGAAATTTTAGTTTAAAATAGCATTAAGCTTAAACAAAGTTAGTGAATACTCATATTTCTAAACTAAAGTAATACAACAGAAAAGAAAGCAATATGTATGTCAGTTAAGTTTTTAATAAATCAATATAAGTTTGAAGCTATTCAATGAATCTTACTATATCAATAGTATATTTCTATCATCTATATCTATACAAATGTGGGGTATAATCCAGATATAACCCCCCTGTACCCCCTGAATAACCCCTGACGTACGCAGCGTTGTGTACGTCTTATGTACGCAAATATCTACGCATGAGGGCTTGCTTCTTTGCTTTTATTGGCCACACGACACTGACGCCGACGCCGCCTCTTCTTTTGCTTGACAAAGACGCCGCCTCGCTGGCTCGACACGAACCCATCACAGTGAGTCTAACCGTACACACGAGCCACCACCTCCTTCGGCTACCTCTCTTCTCCGTCGGCTCGATGGCAGGGGATCGGTTATCTCCCGCACTTATCGTTCGACTCTAGAGGTAAGTTGTTTCTCGCCTCTGCCGCCCTCCTACACTTTGATTTATACATGAAAATATCTTTTCGTGTTCCCAACTCTCTCGCGTCTTCTCCCCTCACTTCATCTTACCGACTCATCGTTTCCTCTTATTTGGCTTCCTCATTTCCTCTTCCGGCTCTTCGTTTCTTTTTTCCCGAGTAACTGGAACAGGACTTCACATTTTTGAGGGGGTTCTACCACCAAATCTCATTCAAACTGCCAGCACACCACTTGAAATAGAAAGGCTAAAGCTCTCCTAAACACAGAAAATCTGAGAGGAAATTTAAATTTTTACAAAACCAACCCTATTACTGATTAAAAGTTATATTGAAAAGGGACCACGAGGGCTGGCAGTAGTAACAAGGCTGGAGAATACCAAAATTTGGTTTTTCATGGGATGGAACCCCTTCCGACCCAATCCCGTGATCACGGCATCACGGGAGTCGGCTCGCACATCAGAGCAGAACTATGAATATTTTATTGACAACAAAGAATCTGATAGAAGCTTCTTGCACTCAAATGTCTCCTCGATAAATTTTAAAGATGCTAGGAGTTCTTGCTCATCTAGATTAACAATAAAGACCTTACCAAGCCCTTCTTAGTTCCCATGGTTGGGTGAACTTTCATGATTTAAAACTTACAATCAGAAAATTGCTCATTAGGTCCAAACGCAAATACGTAAAAATTTAATGATGAAATAAGGAGTTTTGGAACATCAAGTAGTTGTTCTTTAAGAATATCTACAAATACAATTGACTGCTTTTGATTGACTTTCTTGATGCTTTAGGCTGACATATCAACCACTTGTTATTAGAGGCGTTTTTTTATCCATATCAATGTCTTATATCTTTATTTCGATTCTTCACTTGGTGGTTCAAGAACATTATTCTTTATAAAATATGAATGTTGATGCCACCAATACGATAACACCAAAGCAGTTAATGTTTTCCTTTTAGGTCGCAGCTTCCTAGTATAAATTCATAATTAAATGATTTTAATTCAGTGCACTGATTTCCATTTCCTTGCGTCAAACTTTCTCTAACTTTCTTGTATAAATTTAAAGATAAGTTAGCTCATATCCTTCCATATTGATGAAAATTTTAACACTGATGGCTATTTTTTATTTGAACTTATACCTTTCTTTTTGTTTTTCTCAGTAATGATCTTGATTATCAGAGCAAATTATTCTCTTTAAAGTGCTCTTTAAAACTAAGGGCCACTTCTTTGTTTTCAGATACTTGGGTAGAAACCTTTCCAGTTCTGGAACCGGACTGGGATTTGATCATTGCGACTGACATTCTGTTATGTATGTTTTGTTTTGTGGGTAAAACCATACCATTTTTTGCTTGATGAGAGATTATAACTCAGCTGTTCTTGTTTTATAGATGTGAAGCAGTACCCCAACTTGATCAAAACACTTTCCTTTCTCCTCAAAAACTACAAGCAAAGAAATATTAAGAGTGAAGTAACTGAAAGTTCTCAGCATAGGAGGATTCTTACAGCATCAGGTAAATGGTAAAAGCCGTGGAAATTTAGTGTGTTTTGCAACGCCTTATCTAGCCTATTGTTTTTAGGAGAGGAATTGCAGCTGCAGCAACCTGTATTCTTGATGAGCTGGCGGCGTAGGCTTGGTGGAGAGGAATCACTTTTTTTCTCTGGTTGTGAGGATGCTGGACTCGTTACTACGCATATTGGATCTCGTGTTTATTGCATCAGTTCTAGAAGAGAGACATGATTTATGTGGACATCTATAATATTATAAAAGAGGTATTTTATTTATGATTAGAAATTTTATGCGACGCACCAACTTTTTAATCACCATGATATGAACAATTCATAGAAAATTTAAGCTACATTTTGATTGCCATGCTCTTAAATTCATCAGCACAATACCACCACCACTAACAAAAATGACAACAAGCTTTTACCCCAATAAGTGGGGTCGGCTACATGAATCTTTTTTCTCCATTGTCCTATTGCATGTAATATTTTCATTTAATTCTAATAAATTAAGATCATTTTTTTTATACAATATGTTTTTTATACAAATGCCCAAGTCTTTATAGGTCTACCTCTGCCTTTCTTAACATAAGTCGAATCTAAAACATCTACTCTCCTAACCGGATCATCAAATGATCGACGTTTAATGTGATCAAACCTTCTAAGATGACTCTCTCTAATTTTGTCTGCCACAGGAGCTACACCACCCTATCATGGATATATTCATTTCGCATTTTGTCTCTAAGCATAAAGCTACTCATCCACCTGAGCATTCTCATCTCAACAGCACTTAATTTTATGCTTCTCTTTTAAAGGCCAACATTATGCGCCATAGAACATAGCAGGTCTCACCACCATCTTATAAAATTTTCCTTTCAGTCTAAGCATTACTTTTCTATCACAGGCCCGGAGCATCCCTCCACTTCAACCAACCCACTTGAATTCTACTAATAACATCCTCATCTATATCACCATCACTTTGAATAATATATTTGAGATATCTAAAGCATTTACACCTTTTAATATTTTGATTCCCCATAGTTACAACTCTGTCACTTGAGCTAGTATTACTTAAATTATATTCCATGTATTCAGTTTTAGTTCTACTCAAACGAAGGCCTTTAGACTCCAATTTAGACCTCCATAATTCAAGTTTTTTCTGAGTTCCTTCTCTAGTCTTATCCATAGGAAGGATATCATCATCGAAAAACATACACCAAGGTACATTCTTCTGTAAATTTACAGTAAGAGCATCCAAAACTAAAGCAAAAAGATATAAGCTTAAAGTCGATTTTGATGTAATCCAACTGAAATAGGGTAATATCTGGTTAATCCTCCTTTTGTTCGAACGCAAGTAACAACTCTAATATATTTATCTTTAATGACCTGAATATAAGTCATATCAACACCTTTCTTCTCTAGCACTCTCCAAAGGATATCTTTTGGACTCTTATCATAAGCTTTTCCTAAATTAATAAAAATCATACGTAGATCCTCCTTATTCTCTCTATACTTCTCCATCAAACCTCTCAATAAATGATGTATAGCTTCCATAGTACATTGCCCGGCATAAATCCAAACTGATTGTGAGAAATCTTTGATTTTTATCAGCACAAAAAAGTTAAATAATATGCATGACAAATGAGTAAAATTTTTGTTTTCTATTTTTTGTCCTGAAACACAAATCGGGGATTGAGAATAAATCAACTGATCTCTCCCTATAATTTAGACTCTTGATTTTTATAGAATAAAAGAAGTCTGTTAAGACTTTCATATTTTGTATCATGAACATTAGAATAAACCTTTCTATTTGGCAAAGCTTATTCACTGGTCAATATTTATCATGGTAGACAACTTTTCATTCCCAGATTTTTATTTAGTGCCTTTCTCATTTCTGAACTACAATATAGAGTTTTTTGAACCTTAAGAAATAAAATGCAATTCATGACAAATAGATTTTATTGGCCAACCTTTAAACAATATTTATAAATAATAGTTTCATAAAGCTGTACTTGTATAGTAATCATTTCTACAGAACACCTAGATAAGTATGGTGCACTTTCAATTCTTCATAGGCTTTTTCGAAGACTTTTAATGGGCTTTATTGTAACTTCTATGGGAAATAATAGTGTTTTTGTTGCTGTTGATAGACTTTTTAGGGTGGCTTATTTTATTCCTTATTCTAAAAGACAAATAAATGATGCTTCACACATTGTTAATTTATTTTGGCTGAAATTATGAAGCTGCATGATTTGCTGTTAATAATCATTTTGAATAGAGATGTTAGGTTTATCTTCTATTTCTGAAAAATATTTTGAAAATTATTTGGAGCATGGTTAAATTTTTCATTAATCTTTCTTTCACATGTTATTGATCGAACAAAAGTTAATAATTGAAATGTCTATAGTTTATAACACTACCTAGTTGGAAAAATCATAGGCATTTGGGATATTTATTTATTAGTTTTTTATTTTTTTATTTTATTGTTTATGATAGCACTATTTTGAAAAAAATCTTAAATAAAACACCATTTATAGTTTATGGTTATAATCTCGAGAGGTCTATTGATTTAGCTATCATTAGATCATGGTTTTTTATGCTTATATTTACACACATAATTTTAAAGGTCGTCACATATAAGATAGAAATTTGAGGAAGTAATAACAAATATACAAAATTTGTAAATCAAAAACACTTTGCAAACAAATTTAATGAGCATTGATATCCTTCAATTTACGCTCACCATGAGCTCAATGTTGCCACTTACGTATAAAAAATTGTATGTCGGTCCTTCTAGCCCCTTCAAAACTATCAGTTAACTAAATGCTTAGTATCCTGAATTGTCTTCGAACATGCTTATTAACTTTATTTTTAATGTGCAAGATATTTTATCATATAAAAAAATGTATATTTTTAAGGCTTACAATCGGAACCTCATGCAAGAAACGAACATCATCCATTGTAAGTGCGGCTTCATATGAACTTTCCTGAAATTTTAAAGTAAAATTTAAGACGAAACTTTAGCATATACTGATTCTCTCCATAAATTCCCGGTTAAATAAAAGAATTACCCTCCCAGAAATAATAGCCTTGAATCATCATCATTCCTTCATTAACATAAAAAAGTAGTGTCTCCTTGCATTTTCATACCCTATCCTTATGTATTCAATATATGGATTGGAGTGCCCCAAATTTCCTTAAATATTTTAGTTAACCCCTTCTTGTATAGGACATGGTATGTTATGAACTAAAGGTCCATTTTATTTCATCAGGTATGGTTGACCCCTCCATTGTAAGTCAAGCGAAGAAGTCAATCAAGTGTGTTTTTATAATTTCCTTATTTTTATCAACCCATGCATGCTATAGTAGTTTTATAGCTATGTAATGCTCACTTGAAGTTCTATAAACAGAAACAACATGTAATTTTGTGAATCATTAAATTAAATAATCAAAGTTTGCTTATTTTTTGGCATGTGAGATTGGTTCCTCGTTGATTTCTCCTTAGTGAAAATCTTTGGTGAATTTCTTAAGTTGTTTTGTGCTTGATTTAATTTAATAGATTTTCACGCATCCCTTGTATGTCAAAACCTTTATAGACTTTACTTTTTCTTTCTCCTAATCTGAAGCTTCACAAAGTCAGTCTCCCTTCCATGCCTCCCAATGAACTTACACCTTATTAAGCTGGCAATTCCACTATTTGTGGCGTTTTGGTTAGCAACCTTTTTAGTGTTTTTTAATATTTTTATTCCTTTCTTTAATAATATTGATTATGATTGCATATTTCTCATAAAACATATTTTATATTCTTGGTATGCCCATGAAAATTTAAAATGGCTTTGTAGAAGTTACTCATGGATCTCCAATCATGCTTATTTAGATTTCACTATCTGTTATGAGAATTTGGTTTATCAACCATAAGGTATTATTCTCTATTGAGATTGATGTTGTTATGGCTAATGTTGTAGGCTTTTTAGTGCCCGTATGTTTATCAAAATAGATGTTTCGAAGCATTATGATCCTTTATATTGTTGGCTCTACGAGCCATGATATGCACAAGCGTATTTTAATTATAAAAAAAACATATATTTAGAGGTTCTAATTATATACACTAAATGATTTCAAGATTAAGTAATTGCACAAATTTTGGACTTCAAAGCAACATCAATGAAATTAGATGTCTTGAATACATAAAGAAAATTTAGATGGTTAAGAAGTTATAAAAAAAAACTCAAGAATAGGTCCTAAGAGTAAATAGATTTGTAATTACAAAAAATGGCCGAATCTTAAACTTTAGAAGTGAAAATTTATAAATTTAAATAAATTAAAAAAACAATTTAAATATTTATAAATTTAAGAAAATTTGATTGTAAATCATTTAAAATTATTAGCTTGTTGAGATGATTTTAAACTTCTTATTATATTTTCTTAATTTGCTTTATATGAATATATAACTTATTTAATTTATTAATAATATAATTGAGAATAATGTATTTGACTAATATATCAATAAGCTTTCCTAATTGGGTGATTCCTATATAGATAAGCTTAAATAATTTTATATGTTGCTTATGAGGCATTAAAATAAATTAATAAGGCTTAATCATATTAATTAAACATATTAAGTTTATATTTTGACCTTAAATTTTTATAATTTGTTGCATATGTCATTTTATAAAAAAAATATTTTAGATATTTTTTTAAAATTAGTTAGGGGTCTATATATATCAACCATCCAAAGTACTTAATATAATATTTTGACCTCCTAAACTTTAAATATAACATTCTAACTACTTTTTTATTACAACCACTCTTCTAAACTTACTCATGAAGTTTTGAGTGAAAATTTTGGGTGGATAATATATTCTATTTAAAGTTTGGGTTGTTAAAATGTTCTATTAAATGTTTTAGGTGGTTGGTATGTAAAAAAACCCAATTAATTAATATATTTAAAATTTCATAAAAAATAAGTAAATATTTGTATTTTGTAAAATTTATTTTACAATCATTGAATTTTGGATTAATTTTTATTACATTGTATTCACTAGATTTCTTAAATGCGATTTGATATGTTGAATGACATTTTTTTATTAAAATTAAATTTATAATTTTTTTAAATATTAACTATTTTTATGAAAAGTTGGCTAGCTATTGGAATTTTATTTAGAGTTTTGATTAGCTGTTGAAGCTTTTCGAACTAGTTATTTTATAACTATTTGAAGAGCATTTAAGGAAATTGCTCACATACTTCAGCCTTATTTTGAGAAGCTTTAAAATAGGAGATATTTTGATAAATTAAAAGCTTGTAAAAATTTTCTCTCTCTCTCTTTCTCGAATTGTCTTTGAAGCAACATATATTCTTAAGAAAATTTAATGGGTTGATTTAAACTTCTCAAGAAGTTTGAGTTCATGCAAATCCACATTATAACTAAGCGCCATGATCCATTATAATGGTTGGGATTTGCTGATAATGATAATTGTAAGAAGATATATTAAAAAATTTTCCTTTTTATGTCACCTACTTCCATGTATTTGTTTATATTAATGAAGAATGCTTCAATATGCATCCCAACCTAGTTGAACCCTAAACTAGCAATATGCGCCACAAATAAATAAAAAAGGTCTAAAGGAAGATTAAATCCAGTGAACAATGAAACTATTGATAATTAGTTGTTAATTCAAAGGGTGTCAAGACCTTGTGTTAGTCCTAGTCTCATACTTAGGAAATATGCCATTTGAATTTCATTATAGAAAAGGCCCCCACTTCCTCTTGCACTTATTTTCATGGTATAAATTCCTTTGACAATTGTATGTTGAATACCCATTGGCTCAAGTTAACTCTCTAAATATGGTGGTTAATATTAGCAACCTAAATGTGTAATTAGTAGAAAATTTACTTCGTTGTTAATAACATTTATTTTCTTAATGTAATCAGTGCTATCCTTTAGAATTCCAGAAATATTTTTAACCTTAATGGTTTAAATCTTGAAGGGTTGCCTCATAGCCAATAACCTCATATTCTTTGCAACAATAACATGTATGATGGTTCTTCTTGGCCATTGGGTCATGCAAAGAATTATGCGTGTGCAGAGCCGAACTTTTAGTGCTTGGCCTTATTTCTATTCATTATCGGCTTCTTCGTGCTCTATTCTCTCCTGACTTCAGTAAAGGCTTCATGGGGAGATAAATTTGTTCCCATGATCCTCTAGCTTACCTCATCCAATTTCTGAGTAAGCCCTACTAGGAATTTCATGGTCCTCTTCTTCTCAATGATGGATTTAAATGCTATGGCATTTTGTGGACATTTTCACACATGTCTCAAACATATCCAATTGTATCCAATATTTTATCAGGGTCAATGATCTCAGGAACTGTGTTCTCTCAAGTGAGATGATCTTTTTTTCCTTTATCACAAATGTACATAAACACAAATTGTAACTTGAAGAAAGCTATGGATATTGAGTTTATGATTTGTGATAAAGTTCGAGTTTGGTAGCATGGATAGAATCCCTGGCCTTTGACTCAGAATTCACCTTCGGGGTAGAACTTGATGTTTGTATCCTGTACTTTGTCATTATGCCTAAGTGTATTTAGGGTTGCTTTTAGCTGTTGTTCTGAAATTGATTGAAACTACTTGATGTCGTTGCTGCAGATAGAGTAAGAGCCTCCAGGGAGTAATTCCTATTATTGCAGGGAAGTTCCAGGACAACAGGAGATGTGACGGCAAGGAAGGGCTATGGCTTCCAGGCAGGAAAAGTATCTATGGCTGAGAAGCTTCGATCGGCTCTGATCAAATCATTGGGAAAGGATCGTAGAGAGCTGCGGCTAAGAATGGATCGTAGAGACCTACGACTAAGAGGTTTCATCTGACTCTTATCAGATTGCTGGGAAAGGATTATAGAGACTTGTGGTTGTGAAAGTATCGTAGAGACATGGGGCTGGGAAAGGAAGACAACGACAGATGGCCTTGGAAAGGAAGACAGCTGCAAAAGGGTCTCGTTGGATGGGAAAGGATCGCAGAGATGTGCGGCTGAAAAAGGAGGACAGTGGCAGTGGGATCTCAGATCTAGGGTTTGCTCCCTAGTTCTGATACCAGGTAGAATTTACTTGGGGAGAAAATTTTTTGCTTCCTATTATTAACAAATAGAGTACATATATATAGGGAAATCAATTCCTCTCTATTTACAAACTTATCAACATATTTTACTTAAATTAGGAAAGAAAATAATATTGAATAAATAATAGAAAAACATAAAATATGAAGGGAATAAACTAATTAATAATTTTCTATGATATCTCAATCAAATCCTCTAAGATATGGAGGTGTGGTCGACCCATATGAAAGATAAATATGGAAAGAACTAAATCTTCTTAAATTTTCACAGATATTTTACTTGTGATGTTTTTGTTCCTTTACTTTTAGGTTTTGTAATATATTGCTTACTTGATTTTTTTCATACTTTATATTTTTTATCTGCATTTCTTCATAAAGTGGGTTGAGGCTATTTATAGACTATTGGCAGTTCTAAAAAATTTTTAAAATTATTCTAATGATTGTCAAGTCAATGAAATTGCTTTTAATTTTTTTTTATATATCTATAATTTTATCGAATCAAATAGGTAGATATAGGTATTTTCTTACAAATTTTTAAAACCTTTGCAAGTTGTAATATTTTTGTAAAATTAGTTTTTAAGATTTTTGCTAGTCGAGCATAGGTTGCAAGAGATTTGTCCAACTAGGATGATCTGATGTTAGTGAGATTAAAATGGTGGAATAATAGGATGTGGAGATCTACACAAGGACATAGTCAAGGGCGTGTCTTGTAAATATTTGTGCGCTATTGCTTGTTCGGGTTATTTACATACATAGCTCCTGAAACATTGCTATCTATAGATCTAGAGCCCACTTTCATCCGTTTTTGAAATTCTTGCTCATCAAAACTCATGATAAAACCCTGACCCATAGTTTTTATTTTTATCAAATTCTCGACCGTGGCACACATAAATTCATCCGTTCGGTAGTTCAAAAATTTCACATGGGTGCTAGATTTTGTAATTAATGATGTTTCGGTTGCTTTGTATGTAATTATTAATTTCTAAAAGCTTCTTAAATCTATCTGCACTCATTTTAAATCTTTGTAAGCTTGCATAATATGTGAAAAGCACTAAATATCTTTAGGCTCTCTAGTGCCCATGTGCATTTTGAAATGTTTGTTTCTAACAATCATGATTCTTTATAATGGTTGGGATTTGTTGATAATGATAATTTTTAGAATATTATATTAGAAAATCGTTTTTTTTAATGTCACCCACTTCCTTGTCTGTTCATATTTCTTCAGTATGCATCCTAACCTTAAGGCTAGTTCAACCAAGCAATGGCAAGATGCACCACTACAAGCATGATGCGCCACAACAAATAAATCAAAAAGGGTCTAAAAAGAAGCTTAAATCCAATGAACAATGAAAGTATTAATAATTTAGCTGTTTGAGTCAAAGGGTTTCAAGACCTCGTGTTAGTCCTAGTTTTATTCCCGGCAAATGTAATTTGAATTCTGTTATAGAAAAAATCCCCACTTCGCATTGCACTTATTTTTGTGGTATCAATTCTTTGGACAATGGTATAATGAATACCTACTGGCTCAAGTTAATCTCTCTAAACATGGTAGCTAGTATTAGCAACCTAAATTTGTAATCAGTAGATAATTTACTTTGTTGTTGAGAACATTCATTTTCTTAATAGAATCAGTGCTATCCTAGAGAATTCCCAAAATAATTTTCACCTTGATGCTTTAAATCTTGAAGGGTTGTGATACAAGAGTTAACCCAACAACAATGTAACAATAATATCATTGCTGAAATTGAAATAGGGAATTACAAATAATCAACTGAAATAGGAAATAGCAACACGAACACTACACATCCGCAATTAGGGCAGTATCTTGAAAGGGGTAATTGGGGATGTTTGGACTCGTTGGTGGCAGTATGATGGTGGCAATGTTGTGGTTTGTGGAGAGGTCGATGGCTGGAGGCAAGGGGGGCTAGATGGCAGCAGAGTCGGAGAGGTAACGGGGAGGTGGAGTTTGAGGTTGAGGGCAATAGGAAAGGGATCAGCAGGTTACAGGGGTGATTGATTGTGCAAGATTGGAGGTAGAAGGGGGAGGCCGGGTACTGGGAGGAAGTAGGTTGCATGGACGACAGCAGTTGTGGTTGCAATGAGGGAGGGGTGTTGCGACAAGGAAGAATGGATGCCGAGGATGGAAAATCTGAAGATAAGTACCTTCTTGGGAACGAGATACTGTTAGAGCACCACTCGCCCTTGAATATAGTCTATGAAGACAGAATAAGGGACGTCGACAACTACTCTGACTGAATCACAATCAAAACCTCCTCATAAACATGAAGACAACAAAATATAGACATAGTTACTTAAGGATTGGCAAGCCCCTCCGCCCCCGTTGGGTGTCAAATTTTGTGAGAAGTAGGGATGTTAAGTTTCTGATCCACTTTTGGAAGACCTTAGGGGGATTGTAACTCCTCGTACTCAGTTGGTCTTAATATTTAGATGAGCTTGTTTGGCAACACTAATCCAGGAATAAGATCTATGGCCTGGCAAATATCCCCGAGTGGTGGTAAACCCTTTGGTGGATTGTCGGTCATCACATCATGAAAATCGATTAGCAGTGGTTAGATCATCTTTTGTGGCTCGGTCTCCTCAATTTTCTCTAAAACAATTAAGGTCATTGCTATTGTGACTTTCCATATATATTGTAGAATGGTGGCACGTGGGGCCACATGTCTCTCCATGATGCGTGTATTTGCTCCTTCTGACTCCCTAATGGACAAGAGAATGATGTGCTTCTATTCCTCCGTGAATGAGTAAGTGTTTTTGAACCTATCAAGCTAAGTTCTACAATCGAACTACCACAATCTCCCCAATAGGATGTAATAGGAATCCATGGGCACCACATCTGATCTTGCAATTGGTTGCCAATGAAAAACTCTACCAAACACTATTGTTCCACTCGTATCTCTTTCCAATTCTTTAACCAGGTCAGAGAATAGGTTTGGGGATTCTTTTGCGCAGCCAAGTCCAACTTCTGCACTATAAAAGCGGAGACCACGTTCGCGTGCCTTCACTCTTACAATACATTTGATATGAAAGATGACGTGCCTCGACCACAAGGGATCCTTTTGTGGTTTCGTCTATAGAGCTCTCCTCGCAACTAGCATCTCTTTCGTGGAAAACTTATGATCGCTTTCCGGCAATTGTCTCTTCGGTGGCATGATTAGAGTTTGGGTGTGGGAGAGAGTAGATGCGGGGTGAGAAAGAAAAATTTTTGGTTGAGATAGGGTTGCATATTGGTGAATGCTAGAAACCCTGAAAACCCTAAAGATAAGACTATTGTTAGGCTAACTCTCATACCAAATGTTATAAGAGTTAAATTAAACAACAGTGGAACAATATTATTATTGTTAAAATTCAAATAGGGAATTACAAATAATTAACTTAAATAGAAAATAGCAACACAGACACAACACATACGCAACTAGGGTAGTGTCCCTAAATGGGTGGCAGTAGATGTTTGAATTTGGTGGTGGCTACAGGAAGATGGCCAGGCCGTGCTTTTTGGTGGGGCTAGTGGCTGAAGGCAAGGGATGGCTGGATGGCAGCAGAATGGGAGAGAGAAGGGGGAGGTGGAGGTAGAGGCTGCGGTTGGGGTGACACGAAAGGGATCAGTAGGTTACAGGGTGGTTGGTGGTGCAGGATTGAAGGTGGAAGAGGGAAGCCGGCTGCTGGGAGGAAGGAGGTTGCAGGAAGACAGCAACTGGGCGATTGTCTGGGAGAGGGCTGCAGCGAGGGAGGGGTGTTGCAGCAACAAAGGATGGAAAAGTCGAAGATAAATATTCCCTTGGGAAGCAGATATAGTCAGAGCACTAAGGAGTGAATCACCAATGAGGTATAAACGGAGCACTACTTTCCTTTGGATACAGCCCTAGAAGGAAAAACAGGGTACCGATGGCTGTCCTAACATAAATGCAATTAAAACCTTCTCCTAAACTTGATGACAACAAAATATGTAGACCTAGGCTACTTAAGGATTGACTCCCAGATCAGTTGGGTGGCAAATCCTATGAGAAGTATGGCCGCTCGGCTCCCTGGAGGTGTTAGCTTGAGCTAGACATTCGGTCTAGAGGAAGGGAAGAGCTCGCTGGTCCAACATTTCTACTGTAGGGATCCTAGCAGTCTGGTTCAGGACTCCCGCAGCAGGTACATCCGTATTAGGTTGCCTTAGAGTCAATATCCTCATAGTCTTTTCATGATGGTATGTCCCTAGAATATGTTTCATTTTAGTTAGAAGAGGTGAAAATGAGGGGAAAAAAGGGGCTTACATACATACCACACAGTTCTTATTTATTTATATATCTAACACTTAATCTTCATATTTACATAAACAGCACTCCAATTTTAATATCACGCAAAAAATATCACTATTATTAAATTTCTAAATGTGAAATATACATTTTCATGCAGAAGTTTATGACACTAAAGTGTCATAAATGTATATATCAAATTTTAGTTGTTAGATATATAAATTCATAGGTGGTGTGCCATGTATGTAAATTTTCAAAGAAGAAAAAAAGTGTTGTGTAGGCGAATGGGAGTGCTTGTTTTTTCAGTCTCAGTAATGTTAAAAGCTATCATTTGAAATATTAGGGACGTTATAAAACCTTCTGCTAGAGGGAGAATAGAAAAACTTTATCAAGCATCATAAACTCAAAACTAATATTATTATTATTTGAGAAAATTTAATTATTTGAAAGAATGCTTGTATTTGACTTTGATTAATGATATTTTACTTGTGACGTTTTCGTTGCCTTTACTTTTAAGTTCTATAATTTGATGGATATCTGATTTTATTCATGCTTTATATATAGGGGCATTTATATACATAGCACACAATTCTTATATATTTACATATCACACGCAATTCCTGTTTATTTACATGTCTCACACCTAACCACACATAGAACTTAAATCTTTAATGTCACATAAAAATTAGCACTTTATCACTTTTTAAAATACACCATTTCATGCATGAGTTTAAAATGTCAAGGTGCTATGCATGTCGATATGAAAATTTAGGTGTGAGATATGTGAATTCATAAGAATTCTGTGCTACGCATGTAAATTTCTCTTATATTTATTGATCTCCATTTCTTCATAAAGTCACCACTTGAATTTTTAATATCACATAAAAATTAGCTCTATTATCACTTTGTAAAGTAAAATGATTCATTTCATGCATGGGTATAAAGTATCAAGGTGGTATGCATGTGAATATGAAAATTTAGGTATGAGATGTGTGAATTCATAAGAATTGCGTGCTATGCATGTAAATTTCCTTTATATTTTCTAATCTCCATTTCTTCATAAAGTGAGTTGGGGCTATTTATAGGCTTTTGGTAGTTTTTAGAAAGAGCAGCTTTGCTCATTCTATTTTGTTTTCTGATCCATTTTTAGTTTTTGTATGAATTTTATGGATTTATGATTGTTCTTTCTTCTTTTTGATGGGGCTATGGAATTGGATGCTGACTATGTCTTTAGCATTTGCCATTCTTTCAATCTCTGATTTTTCTTTCTCTATCATATTTAGCCCTTTTTATTGGTTAAAGAGGCTGTGGTCCATATGAATCATCTATGATTTATCTGAGTAGTCTTTATTATGATTTGGAGTTTTCCAAATTTTTCTTACTAATTAGTATTTATTATCTCTCTTATTTTTTAGGAGTGGGCTTGATGTGGCACCGAGGAATCATAAAAGAGAGATGAATCAACCAACCACTAGGATTCAAAGTAAGAACAAAGTTGCAACAAACTAAAGGCACATAACTGAGTACAAGGAGGATATTTACTTAGAATTTGGAAGTTATATATTTTATAATTTTAATACAAGACTTTTTTTTTTTTGTGGCTAGATCTTTGATATTGGTTTATGTTATCAGTGGTTGTCGTGGATGTTTGAAAGCTGAACCCCAAGCATTTTTCAATGATCTTGATCATTGCAGAGTGAGCATGGAATTGATGTTGATGTGTCAGACACCTTTTTATATAATTATCAGTTTGTGTGATTACATTTCTTGTGCAACAACATTCGAATGAATTTGAAAACTCTTATCATCCAATTCTGAAATATTGTGATTCCCCACAAAATATTTTATTAAAGAATTAAGAGAAAAAAAAATAATGATAGAAAGTAGAGTGTATGGTATGAGACATACACAATCATTTGATAGAATCTTTTGCCTGACATTTGAGTTTAAGTGGAGGTAGTGTGTTTAGTGTCAGCATTCCAATGCCTTTTGAATTTTTTTAAATTTTGAAACTTAAACATATGAATTTTAAATTTTTTATATATAATACAGGATTCATTTTTTTTTTTTTTTTTGTTTAAGTGTTACTCAATAACTTGCTAATTATTACCCCAGATGACAAAAATGCACCTGGATTATGTTAAATTTTGCAAATGAACGATAGGTACTGCTCAATTCTTATGTACTAACATATCTCAAACATCAATTCTTAAATATACATAACATCTTATCTATGCATAAAAATGTCCATTTCACTTTTCAATGATTAAAATGGCAGTATTTTTTGTGCAATACGAAAGATTTGGATGACATAAATACAAGAAAAAAGTAAAATTTAGGTGCTTTGAAATATGTAAATACATGGGAAAATAAATCTCACACCTACAAAATCAACAATCCCTACCTCAACTCGAGCCGAGATTAGAACATCACCGACCCAACATCCAGGCAAAGAAATATAACAAATTGACAAATAAGACCAGTTAAAATTATCCAATTTGCAATATCCCAACTTCAAAATCCACATTTTTAATAAATTCCATATAACTCTACAAAAATTATGTTAAAACTTCAGCACAGAAAGGTATGTCTCTTAAGCTGCAGTACATTTCACTATATTGTTCTTCGTTCAGCTCACAGTCCATCTTCAGTATCCACAGCAGTACCTTTGAGGTGCAGGTGCTTCTCCCTCTTCTGAAACTCGGTCAGCCCCTTTCCACTGCCCGTTACCCCAACTTTGCCCGTTGGATCATCAGGAGATTTGAAAATGCTCTCCCGTTTGCGCCCAGAGAAGAAACCAATCTTCAACATTATATCAACCAAAAAGAGAACATCAAATAATGTTCAAAAGTTTAAAAATAATAATAATAATAATAATAACAATAAAGAGATGAAATGAAGATTGGAAAATTGGATCAATTGGTATAAGGTCTTATTGATTCGGCATGGAAAGCATGGAAAGAGAAGAAGTTTGATGGATTTAGTTGTCATAATCTTTTGAATAAAAGAAGAGTGAAACTGGGGCTATAAATGAACAAATACACTTGATGAACAATTTAAACTCGGCACGATTAATATTCGATCATTTTTGTTCAAATTATTAAATAAATAAATATGAACAATTTTTATAATCTTGAAATTTAAATGAACTAAATTTGAATACAGTCCAACTCGTTTATTAATGCTTGTGAACATACTTGTTTGATGTTCGACAAGTAACTTGTTAAATGTTATGTACTTGTACGATATATCATTTAAATAAAATTTAATTAACTTATTTAATAATATATGTAATAATAATATATTATAATTTAATATTAAAATGCACATAAATTTAATGTATTTTTTTTCAATGAACTCGTACTTTGTTATCTTATTTGAATGCAAGAAAGCTTACTTGTAACCTGTATTATTTTATTTATTTGAAATAAACTAGTTAGATGCTAAATTGAAATATTTTTAATTGCTTATTTATTTCTATTCCTAAAATTATTTGTTACTTATTTTATATAAAAAAAGCAATCAGTCATTTAAATTTTTAACTTGTTTACTTAATTTGAAATAAAAGATTAAGTACTCATTTTAAATTTTTAGCTATTCAATTATTATAAATAAGTAAATTACAAATCAAGTATAAACATTAAAAATTTTAAGCAAGCAAAGTATGAGCAATATATGTGAAAAGGAATTCGAGAAAGAGTAGAAGGTACGGTTAGATAAAACTGGATATGTTTAATTTATTTTACTTTTTTAATTGCCCTGAGACAACGTTCACGCAGAATGAAATCTAAGGCGAATGCACAATATTGTGAGGATATTACACACGCTCACACAACTATATGTGTACCGATCCTCTCACATAACCATCATTCATATATTTTGAATGTCATGCCTGTGAATTTCACGTGCAGTGGCTCAGGTAATAGAGGTGCCCTTTATAAGCAATTTTGATGTTTCAGACTTGTCGGTGCAATTCATAATGGAAAACAAACAATAATGATGCATTCTTGCCCGTCATGTCCATAGTAAATCATTTTCAATTTATTTGGTTTGAATTAGTCTGTTTTACGCGAGTAATTTTTGTTATTACAATGCAATTTAAACTGAATTTGTATGATATCTTGTTCATTCTTTGTCATTATGGCTGCGCTCAATTGGACCATGGAGTGTGTATAAGGACGCAAGCTCGCTCTTAAATAATCATACCAACTACTTGGCAATTAATATGATACCACCTAGAAATTACTTCTGTGCACGGTAGAACAAGCCTCACAATAATTGATGCAGCATGAAAATTAGAAGAAAAAGTTCAAACGGTTCAGAGCATGATGACACTCAAATAAACCAAAAAACATAACAACAACACAAAAAGAGATCAAATATTACCTTTTTCGTTTTCCCTTTTGCAGATTGAAATTGCTGCCAAGCATTCTGCCTTTTATTCTGCACAACTTCGAGTTGCTCGACACGAGCCTTTGACTTGAATGCATGAATTTTCTTGCGCTTAGCAGCTTTCTGCAGATTAACAAATATCGACCTTGAGCAAAGTAAAGAGATGACAAATAAAAATGTTAAAAGCAGAAGTTGTAAAATGAAATATTTATGCAAATAATCATTAGCAACCATGGGTGTAAAACATCAAATGCATAGAGTGCCAAAATAATTCCCGACTATTTATATGGGCCAATTTGGTCACAAATTTTATAAAAGTACTAAATTAGTCCCAAGACTCTTTTAAATAGTCTTCATATTCAAAGAGGTTGTGGACTAAATTGACACTTTGATAAACTCTGGGACTTAAATGACCTCTTGCAAAGAAGTCAGGAGACCATATTGACACTTTATGTCAATATCAAATTTAAGCAAGCATTGCCAGAGACAACCCTATCAATGAACCAAATATGAATTCCTCTATAGTATAAAAAAGGTCTGAAAACAGGCGCAAATAACTTCCAATTGTCCTGAATTAATCTGATAAAAAATATAACTTCTTAGACTTTGATTAATCTTTCATGGATTACATCATCTAAATTGTAATCACATCGACCATTAAAATGGTTAGCATCACTTTAAAATTTTAACAAATAATTTAGCAACAAATGCAACCATCCAATGTCCAGAAACAGTTCACTGCCATTAATAATCCAAAAGGAATTCTAATAGAAGTACATACCACATCTTCAGGATCATTTGGTTCGATACGAAGTTTTTGAGGTATTGAACGCCGCTGGAAGTCCATTACAGCTGCCTGTGCAATCTTTCTTTTAATGGCTTGCTTGGTAGCTTCAGCCTGCATTTCAGCTTCTAGCAAAGCATTCACTTCTACCCCTCTAATTGGTCTGACATTGTAAGGTTCCACCTAAGAGAGCATTAATTTTCCTTATAAGGCTTCAAAGTATGTGACAGGAAACAAAAACATTCACAAGAAAGAATAAGCAGCTAATAAATTCTAAAGAAAGACCACCCAACCAAAATAAAGTACTCAAGCAATTCAAACTAATTGATCTTCACTCCAAAGCGATCAAGTTTGTGAAGTGAAGAAATACAAATAAGCCTTATTGTCTTGATCACATGAAATTAAAGTATTGATATCCATCAGTGAAGACAGTAAGTGGCTATTACCAAGAGAAGTGTCAAAATAAACCATAGACTCTTTATACTCCCAAAGTCCATAAAAATGTTAATTTAGTCCCCATACTCTTTTAATAGGGGATAAAATAATCCATTTGAGGGACTATTTCAGCTCATATAAAAAGAGTACGAACTAATTTAACGTATTTATAGACTCTAGGACTAAATGGCCCCATGTAAATAGTTAGGGGACTATTGTGACACTACTCACTTTTTATCTCGTGCCAACATGCTACATCAAAAAAAAAATCTCGTGCCAACATGCTACATCAAAAAAAAAAAAATTTGCAATAATTTCTAAGAAAATATTTCATGAACACCATCATCAGTCCGAAGTATGGATGAAATTGGAAGTTGATGCTAGGTCCATAACCACTCATTATGCTTGCATCAAAATCCATAATGGATTAAAAATTTTATTTTGTCAGTGCTAGGTATACAGATGTGACGTGCTACAAACTAAATCAATTGTGATAAAGAGTATCAGTATGAAAAGATTTGCGAAGATGTTACACTTAAGAGTGCCGCACTTGACTCAATTGTTATAAAAAAAATGGAGAATTAGAAAATTTTCCAAAAGTAATATGATACAACTTAAATGAGACAAAAAAAAATGAAATAAGAGTTGACCAGATCTAGAACTAAGATTAAATTTGCTATGTATATTAGAATTGATGTACATTAAGTACATGAATTAGGTTTAGACTTATGATACAATCACCAAGCCAAAGCTGTGTCATGTCAATACCTCTAATTGTATACTTATGCCATCAAATGTGCCATCGATGCCCCGTGCCAATTTCAATTTTCAATAATTATAAAAAAACTAAAACAAAGAACAGGCAATATATATAAGTTGGACAATGGTGAAATATTTCCCTTGATAGGCCAATAGATTTGTATGATCAAGGGCCTTCTTTACCTCCCCAAGTCATTACCAAATCATGTCATTTAAGTTTGCAAACAAAAAATCAGTTATACAAAAATTTACGACAGGTAAAAGAATGACTTCAAAACATTTTACCTTGCAAATAATAACAGATGTCTAAACCAATCAAGATTAAAAAAAAGAGATTATTAAATGGGGAAATTATCCTTGCACACTATAAATATGGCTAATTATTAAACTAATAATCAACTACGCCCATTTGCAAATTGACCGCACCAATCTAGAAAAGCACAAAAAACAAAAAACACACGGGTTTAGTAGTTCATTCTTTTTTGGGTTAGGCGTTGGTTTCGTAAATGACCAAATTTCATGTGACATATGCATAACCTTAACAAAAATTGTTGTTAATACATTCAATATATTGTGATCAATCCTTCCATAACATAAGTGCAGTTAATCTCTTTAAGCTGGATCTCGCGTTGAAAGACAATTTAATTGTAACAATAAGACCTTTTATTCAACTAATTAATGCATCATATAAGCAATGTAAGCACCTAAAACTTCTTTTCCTCAATAAATGCCTTCACATGGGTATCAATGGATAAAAAAAAGAAACAAAATATGGAAAGCTAAGGATATCATCATCCACACCGTAATAAATTTAAGATCATGATAACATTTAACTCACTTCTTCCTTGTTTCCCCAACTATCATAAGAGACAAAGTATCCATGTGGAGTCAAAGCCTCAATAGTTGCATCGTACCTGAACATTTAACTAATCAAACACAAAAAAAAGGGTAAAATGATTGAAAATGTCACGTTCATAAAATGCATAAATACATTTTTTTTTATCCACATACCACTCCCCGTCTTCACTCCAAACAGCCTGAACTTTGGTACCAACAGCAAAATTATGATATTCTTCTGTACTTTGTTCAGAACGTCCAACTGGTCCCTGAAAGCAAGCCAAAAATACTGTTTGCCGTCTAGAAGTAAATTCATGCTACACTAGCATCAAGATAAACAAAAGGCTTGTTTGGGGTCAATTTTATTTTTTGTTTTCGTTTTTACTTTTATTTTTTAAAACATGTGTTTTTAGTTTATTTTTTACATGTTTCTATTTTTTTTTAACAACAAATTAACATGTTTTTAAAAACACTCAAAACAAAGAGGTTTTAAAAACAATAATATCTTAATCAAATATGTCAAAATATTTTGTTTTAAATTAAAGCATAAACAAAACAAAATAAAAACAAAAAAAAAAATAAAAAAAAAAGTGATCCCAAACGAATCGTAAGCATCACTGCAACATCATGAATGCAACAAACAAAATAAATGTAAAATTACGCTAAAAAATCATCTTTTCATGCCAAATTCCTCATTTTCACATTTAGAGGCACAGTAGTGAGCTAGGTTCATATACCAGTTTTGACTTAGAGGTACCCATAGAAGTGGAAGCATATTCATCCAACTCAGTATCACTCTTAGAATATTCAACTTGTTTTGTGGTAACCAACAGTTCCTCTGTCAATGCAATAACCTACATTCAAGAGCATGTCACTCAGAAAAACACAGAAGCATCAGATGACAAAAATGCCCGAATCCGTAGCAAAACATCAAACTTAGAATAGCAGCAACAAATCTGAATCAGATCCTTCCAATCAGGCAGGCCATCACCAAATCCCTGCATATAAACCAAGATAAAGGATGATGGCCATCTCATCAAAAGCTATGATTTTCCATACATTGTCTTACGATAACTGCTCATATGGCCCCATTACCTTATATAAGAGCTGTTTTTTCTATACAACATCATTCTCACCTTCTAGTGTACAAAGAAAACATTAAATTTGACAAAAAGACCATCTGCAATAAGAAAGTAGTATTTATGTCCTGCTTCTGAAATCTGACTGCTCCTTGAGAGAAAAAGAAAATGGAGGAAATAACCATATGTTAAACTTGCACATATTTAAGAATAGGAACATTTACGTGCATATCACACAATTCTTATGAATTTACATATCTAACACCTAAATTTTCATATGTACATGCATAACGCTCAAATCTTTACTAATACATTCAAAAAACCACTATAATCACTGTTTAAAAATGAAATACACATTTTCATGCAAAGGTTTAAGACACCAAATTGGTATACATGTAAATATGAAATTTTAGGTGTTATATTTGTAAATACATAAAATCATATGGCACGTATGAAAAGTTCCCTTGAGAATATTCTATCCTTTACATGGTAACACATTGATTGGCTGCTAGAAGCATCGGTACGAAATCATGTATCAAACAGATACAGCAACTTCCAACAAATGGCACAGAAAGAGAAACTGATGAATACCATTTCCATCTTACCTCCATAAGCTCCTTCTCCATGTCTGCATATTCTGAGTTTCCAGGATCATCAGCCAAAAGCCTTTTTACCTGATTCAAAAGAATTCAAATTATCCAAGATAGACAATTATAACAATAACGAAAACTATGTGAAATAAATTAGGGGCTTTTACATACATAGCACCCAAAACTTTCACATTTACCTATCTCACACCAAAACTTTCATAATTACAAATATAATATGAAAAGTAACACTCATCATAACCTTTTAATAGTCAAATCCATCTTTTCATCCATAGATAAAGTGTTGTGCGTGTAAAAATTAAACTTTGGATGTGAGATAGGTAAATCCATAAGAATTGGGTGGAATGCATATAAATTTCCCAATAAATTAATATAGGAAAGTTTAAAAGAAGAAGCTAAAAACTATAAAGTGTAGCAGTAGCATCATCTCTTGCAGTTTAATAATATATCTTAAACGAAGTAACGTTCATTTGCTTAAATTTATTAGTAAAAATACTGTTGCCTACATGCCAATTAAGAGTTAGTTAATACAGACATAATTGAAGTTATTTGATATTTAACATCGGCTATAACGTGAGCTTTAACTTTCTGAACCCTACAAACAGATGTGATATGGAAGGATCGGCTCAAGATCGCTCAATTGAATAAAGTCAACATCACCCCAAATGCATTGTGAATTTTTTCACCATAAAGTCAAAATGGAAATAGTGCCAAATGCAATGAATTCAAAGACTTTTAAGACCCCTCTCGGTGTAATACCCTAAGGGAAATCTTTACATAGAATCTCATCAGAAGTATTAAATCATGAATTAATCTCAATATAGTTAACTTATTTCCTTTTCATTAGATGGCTCGTTTTCTTTGTAAATGGTTTTATTTTACTAGTTAATTGTGATAAGGTAACCCTCATTTTTCCTTTGTTTGACAACACGTTATACATCATGGTAGTTGCATTAGGAAATATAGAACTAGTTGCATCAACTAACAATCCTTTGCTGAATAAATCAACAAATTGATGTGCTCAAGTGATCCAGAATTATGAGAATAACAAAACTATGGTCAAATGATAATATTTTACACTGAGAAGAGGGTGAAAATAGAATGAGATGTTATGTTTTAAATCCTCCAGAAATGCCATTTTAGAGATCTGAAACATAAACCGCAATTACATCTTCAAGATACTTCAAAGCAGATCAATATCATACCAGAATGCAAACATCCATAAACTTACCAATATATACAATCTAAGGCTAAGGGTAAAAATGAAAGTCTAAGAATTTTGGGGGTAAAAATGTCAAATACAAGTAACTATGCCAAATTGGTGTAGATGAGTGCTTCTTGTCTACAACCAAATCATGCAACAAATACAAAAATTCTCTTCTTTACCCAACAATATCCACACACGGGTATAAATCTAAGCTCATATAGGCATACAAAACAAAAAATGTATTTTATAAAATAGGACTAGTATATTGGTAGAATAAAAGTTTTAAAGCAGCACACATTTCTTCAATAATACAATTTCTGTAACGTCCTCCACTACAGTGTAAGACCGGTAGATGCTTCCTCAACGAATGCAATCTTCTATCAATAAAAAAGTCCATGTTTGCCCCAGCCATTTTGTCCTTTAATGCCATACTATTCCGCCACCTTTCTCGTATTTTTTTCTGAAATATAATTTTACGGTTCTCCCACCAATTAATCATATAAACAAGTACTGGAGATCTACAAACCATCATGTTGGTAAGAACTCACCTATTGTTAAAATGTTTTACTACCCAATTCCCTGTATGCAATGGAAAAGACGCTTATATGGTTTATTCCCACTGCCATCAGCATTAAGAAGAAAAGTCTGAAAGCAAGAAGAAAGGATATTTCTGATTTCATGATATTTACTTTCTATGAGCATGGATTACAAGTTCCTCCTAAATATAACTCAAAAGATCGCATATATCTCAACAAATATTACTTAGCAAACACTAGGAAATTATTAAGTAAAATAATTTTAGTTTCCCAAGTATCAAAATACGTACAGCTAATAACAAGACGCTTCTTAAAGTTAACAACCATAAGGGAAAATATTACAAAAGGTGTTTAACTAAGAAACCATATAAGCATAGTTGATAAGAAACAAAATAGTTTCCAGCACATATAGATCATAATTATCATGTGAGAATTTTATTAAAATGATACAGCTTACAGGACAAACTTGAATGACAAGAAATGCACAAAAAAAGCAAAGGAGCCAATAACTTCCTTTGAATATTTCTCATGAATTACTTCACCTTTCAAGCATTCTTTATCTTACAGAGAACATAGAAAAATCATCAAAACGACATCATGAACTTTTAAACCAAAGCAAAAGTTGCCATCATCATTTTTTTTTTCCTGGACTTGCAGAAATCTAGATGGAATTTAGCGAACTTAATAGACAATCTATAACCCGATCAACCCGCTGCTTCAAATGAGAGGTAAAAAAAAAAGGAAGGAAAAGAAAAGATCATATGGAATAACCAGCAATAAAACAAACAAACAAACAAACAAAAATACTCAATCAAAAACGAGTCTACACTAATTGAAGAGCAGACTATATTTCATTGCTAAAAAAAAAAAAAAAGAAAAAGCATGGCATAGGTTATGGTTGAAAATTCATAAATAGAATTTTAAGAACAACCGAGATAAACATTTGCCTAATACTCAGTATGTTAATCGGCCCTAATTCCAAAATGAACCGATAAAAATCAAGATCTGCACAAAATAAATCCATTAGTTTAATGAGCTTTATATTGAGTGTGGATGCAAAAATGCACAAATTCAAGTTTAAATTGATTGAAGCCATTGCAAGGATTGCAAGCAATGCAGATGGATTAAATAGTTAATAATCTTCCGAAGAGCAAAAATAGTTCAGCATAAAGAGATGTTAAGATAGGAGATCAATGTAATAAAGTCCAATCTTAATTAAACTAAAAAACAATAGATGGTTCTCAGCATCTTTAACTCTGTATCTACAGTTCACAACTTAATTGGGCAGCACCAAAAGAAAAATGCCAAGGCTCCAGCTTGATGTATAACAAGTTTATAGAGAATTGATAAATCAAGACGCGGTGATCTTGAATTAAATCTAGGGATGTAACTAAGACAAACCGACTCGTACGCTAGCTCAAACTCGACTCAACAAATGGCTCATGGGGCGAGCTCGATAAACTAGCAAATCAAATTTTAGCTAGACCTAACTGGAATCATTAGCTCATGAATTAGATTGTTTAAAAAGATATATTAATATAAAATGACTATAAAATAAAATAAATTTTAAGGTTTTTAGTATAAAGTATTAAATAATTTAAATTTAAATTATATTTTTTTATATCAAATGATTTTTTCTATCATTTTGTTATAACAGTTGCTTGAATCAAAATATTTTTTTCTTTAATAATAAGCAATTTAATCCATATTCTAACATGAAATTGTACAATTAGGCACAATCTCAACCTCGAATTTAATTAATTAACAAAGCTCAAGCACAAGCCAATGAGTGACTTGAGCTCGGCTCACCTTGACTCATTTATACTCCTAATTAAATCTATCCAATATGATAAGGTGACAAACAATACAAGGAGCAGGGTTGTAAATGAACCAATGCACTCGATAAACAACTTAAACTTGGCTCGATTAAAACTCACTCATATTTATCCAAATTAGTAAATAAAAAGATTTGAACATTTCTTAAAAGCTCAATGGTTAAATGAGCTAAACTTAAGCACAAATCAAATCGTTTATTTATATTCAAGAATAAATATATTTATTTTTCAACAAGTAACTTGTTAAATATCTTGTAGTAAGTTTGATAATAGCTTATATCATATATAATATTATTTAAATAAAATTTAATTAATTAGAATTTATTTAATTATATATTTATAGCATATTATAATTTATAATAAAATTTTCTCATTTCTTTATTTCAATGAAAAAATTGGTTAATTTTATTTATATTATTTAATTATAATAAAGCTTATTTTAACTTATTATTATATTATTTCATTGGCGTAAACTAATTAGATACTAATTTGAAATTTATTCAATTGTTTTTATTTAGTTTTGTAAAATTATTTGTTAATAATTTTATATTAAAAATCAACTATACATTCAAATTCTAGCCTGTTTATTAAATTGCTAAAGTAGTTGTTCAATTAATACAAACAAATTAAATACAAGACCAGTACGATTTTTAAAAATTTTAATCAGGCTAAGTATGAGCATATATATGTGAAAATCAAACTCGAACTCGATAAAAACATGAACAAGTTATAATATAATTAAACCAAGTCAATCTAGGAAATCCTCAACTTGACTCGTCTCAAAGGAGCAACGTACTAAAAAGAAAGCCTAAAAAAGAAAGAAATAGAGCACGAAGACTAGCATAACATAATGAACTATGAACTGACAATGATGAGGGAGATGAAAATGGTTGGGGACAAGAATAGGAGAGTTTTTGGAGATGACGAGGGAGATGAAAGGGTTAAGTACAAGGTGGATATAAGGAGAAGATATGCCAAGTGGAAGAAGAGTGTGGTCAGGACAACAAAGAAAAAGGACTTTCCTTACGTCAACTTTCCAAGTCTTGTCAAGATGTGTTGCTTAGCCCATTTTAAGGAATCATATCTCAAATAGGCTCACTTCAAGTTCTGCATTTTTTGTAGAATTTCGTCAAAGTTTCTCCTAAAAGATGTCATCTTAACTAGACTGACTTGTATGTATCGATTTTCATATTATGTGTCTGCATGAGTGTATTAACATATAGTATTTAGCATGTAATTAGTTATTTAATTCCTTTTTTTCAAATATCTTCATGATGCAGCATAGAATCCGCAGTTCATCCAGGATGCTCCACCAAGATCCTCTACCACCACCACCACCACCACCACCACCACCATCAAAATTCTAAAATTCCGGCTCGATGCATGCCAAGTTAAAATTAAAGTTGACAAACCATGACACAATCAAAAAAGTTCGGGTTCTCAAATTAAACCTATCACAAATACGCGAACATTCCTCAAATCCATACTACAGATACAGAACCAAAAACATGGAAAATCACAACAACCATGCAAGAAATCAAAGCCAATAAGGATCTGTAACTTCGTAACCAAAAACAAATCGCCGATGCAAGAATTAGGGTTATAGAGATAACAGAACCTCATTGAGCTGTTCCTTATACGTGGATAGATTCGAAGCGAGCTCTTCGATGCTTACATCCTCTCCCCCATGCATCGTTTTCTTCTCAAATCTCACGCTTCGTCTACACCAGGATAGAGCGCGTGTTGAGGTAGAATGACCAGAGCAATGCGTAGCCTTCTCGCTCGCCGGGGGAGGAGATAACTAATATTGCTAAATCAACAATCAACGGTGATCAGCCTGACAGTTGCACGGGGTATCAACGGTGGAGATTTTTTTGTAGGAGTCTCAAATAGTGAAATTTAATCATTTTCTATTTAATAATTATATTTATTTAAACCATAAAATATTTACAACCTACTCCTTGTATAGTTTTTTTTTTTTTTTTTGTTCGGCTCGTGCTCAAAATAGCTCGTGAACAATTTATGTGTGCTCAAAATAGATGTGTGTGTGTGTGTGTGTGGGGTAACCTTTAAAAAATTAATTGACTACAATACTACAAAGATTTATAATCAATTAAAAGTATTAATTAAGAAGAAAATAAAATAAAATGAAAATAAAATAAAATTTATTATATTAGATTCAAATGATGTTTTAAATCTTGCCCCATTCTTTAACATCTTATGGTTACGTGATTAGTAGGGCTGTCAAAAAAGCTCGTTGTTCGCGAACAGTTCGTGTTCGGTTCGTCAATGAGTTCGTGTTCGATTCGTTCGATAAGTAAACGAGACAAACGCGAACAAATTTTTTTCGTTCGGTTAGTTAAACGAACCAAACACGAACAGTGATGCGTTCGTTCGTGTTCGAATCGTTATTGTTTGAAATATAAAATAATATAAAATAATTATATATAAAAAATTTATTATATTTTAAAACATTAAATTTTATAAATTATAATATATAATAAAATAATAATAATAATATATTAATATACTATAGTAGTAATATACTAATATAGATATTGAATATTTATATAATATAAGTTATATAATTAATATATAATATTATTTTTATATATTAATATTAGGGATGTCAAACTGGCTCGTCGTTCGCGAACAACTCGTGTTCGGTTTGTGTTCGGCTCGTACGTTAAGAAACGAACACGAGCTTATTTCAAACAAACCAAATTTTAAATGAACCGAACACAAACACAAGCTTTGTTCGTTCGTGTTCGGTTCATTTACACCCCTAGTGATTAGGGTTATAAAAATGACTTTTTCTACGTGAACGGCTCGTGTTCGGCTCGCTAAGCAAACGAGCGAACACAAACACATTTTTTGAGCTCGAAATATAAACGAGCTGAACACGAGCTGTGCCTGGGCTCGCTCGTGTTCGGCAACACGAGCTGCGCCTGGGCTTGCTCGTGTTCGGCTCATTTACACCCCTACATACGACCTAAATTTTATTTATTTACATATCTAACATCTAAATGTATATGTTTTATAACCATACCATCTAAGCATAATTTTAAAATAATAAAATTTAGCATTTTTAATACATTTAAATAATTAATATATAAAATGAATAAATAAATAAAATTATTTAATTAATTAGAGTGAAAATGAGCCGAACATAAACGAAAAAGCATTAGATTGTGTTCGGCCTGTTTATAAATCAAGCTCAAAAAAAAAAATATTCGTGTTTTGTTCGTTTGCTTAACGGACGAATAAAACACAAGTCATTTAACGTGGCAAACACTAAGTTATTTGCAAATGACGAACCTTTTTGAAGCATATATATATATATATATATATAGACATATTTTGTCCATGGGATAACAACCAAGGAATAATATACTGGCTGAAGGGGAACAATGAGTTGTGCATAAGAGAGAGAAAAGTGAGAATGTAGTGTAAGTTTTTCTTATAGCTATTTTTAAGAAATATTCTCGTTGTTATATCATCTCTTCTTTTTTATATAGGGGTGTTTCTTCTAGAGAATATACATATATTGTGATTACATATATTGATTACACTGAGACTTCTAAGAACTTTTGAAAGCTTGGATTTGTCATATATGGCATTGAGTGTATATATTGTATTTTCTATGACATCTTGTCTTTTGTCGACGTCTTATTTAATCTTATATTTTTTGGGCACTTCATCAGATCACATCTTTATTAGTCTATTCAAACTTGGATGAGTTCTCTGTAAGAGTTGTAATGGGACAACTATTATGGGATAACTCTCCTAAGCAAGCTACTTTCTTGAACTTATTTTAAGAGAACTCTCATGTGAGAGTTGATTTCATGGTTATTCTCTTGTACAAGTGGATGAGTAAAGGGCTTCAATAGTTCTCCTATATGTGTTCAACTTCTAGATGAGGTCGGACATTCTACTGGATGAGTATACAAGTGGCTAGTTCAACTGCTCTTATGGATGAGTAGATGAGTGGGCGAGTTCAACTACTATCTTGGATGAGTTCAAATGTACTTATACACGAGTTGACAAGTGGTTGTGTTTAGCTACTATCCTGGACGAGTGGACGAGTTTAGCTGCTCCCTTGGACAAGTTTAGCTCTTATATGAGTTCGACAACTTTTCTAAATGAATTGAGTTGTGTGCATTGAAATTGATGCAGGTAATTTTGGTCATACATATTTAGTTCTTTGATATTCACATCTCCTTTAAATACATTTATTAAAAGAATAAGAGAATGATAAACATAAAACTATATATTACTCATATTTATAAGGTAAGAGTGTACTCTCAAATCCAAGGAATAAATTTGTTAAACATATTTCTTTAAATGAGTCAAAATCGTTTAATTAAAAAATAATGTATGTATTTTTCTATGTGTTTACTATTCGTCTATCATATGACACTTAGTTATCGTATAGAAAATCGTCCTGGGGCACTTTGGCTGCACCTATAGGATCCCATCTTAGAGGCATTTTAGGTCACCTTTAGGGAGTAGTCTCATAGATTAATTGCTCATCATTATTATCATTATTTTTCATTCAGTTATTTATTTGGTTGACCTGACATTCTTGTAAGGTGAGTCTCGAGTATTATCAGTAAACTTAATTTTTCTAAAAGGATTTTTATTTTATTTTTTTTGTAACTAGATTTACTATTTTCTCTTGCAATGTAACTCAATTATAAAAAGAATTCATTCGAATTTTGTTAAATTCAGACTGTCATTTGCTTAGGGCCCATAGCTATATCACAGGGAGCAATCATTATAACTCTTCAACTTTGCCTAGACCGAGATCTCGTGGTCTTAAATATATAAGTTAACTGACTTTATCCTTTAATTTGTTGAGTTATATTTTGAAAAGAGTTTCTCCAAAGTTATCTCCAGCATTTGGCTACTAAGTTGAGTATGATTTATACGTTTAGGCAATTTTTAATTTACTTTTAAGAATTTTGCTTGTGAAGGTTAAGTTGTCTGAGTGTTATTGGCAAACTTATTCTATATAACAAGTAATATCTTCATTATTTATTATATACATATTGATAGAGTTAACAAAAAGTATAAACACAATAAGAAAAATCATAAACAAAGAAAAAGGATTCAGAGGGATTTTCCCTTTGCTAAGCTTGTTAGCAATGATTTGTTTGTTGCTTAGCAACATTTTCCCCTTTTTTAACCTTGTTAGTAGTGATTTCTCTATTGCTTAGAAACACTTCTTGTGTGACTCCTCTTCTCCTAAGAAAACTTCTTTACGATAGATGTTTTTAGATAAATCTCTTGGAAGAGCTTCATTGGGATAACTCTCTTAAGAGATCTATTTTCCTAAATTAATGGCTTTGAGGATTGGTGGACGAGTCGATAAAAGAATGAGTTGATGAGTGGTCAAATGGTTGCGTGTGCATGTGGATGAATTCAGCTATTTTCCCATATTAGTTTTCTAGTACAGTTCATGTTCCTAGTTACTTCTTTATTTCTTTGTCCCATCCCTTGCGCGACTCCACTTATTATTTGTGGCATGATCCATGCTCACCATACCTCTTAAAGATGTCAAATTATTTTTTCTATGGGTTTGCACCCAAGGATTTTAACTTCTAAAGAGGGGAAAGTGAGCAACTGATGCAAAACAAAAATAGAAAGAATGAAATGAGAGTTTTTATATAGCCATTTCCCTATAAAAGTCTCCCTTCTTATATTAACACTCACAATTTATATAAGATTATTTTTTTATAAAATATACATAAACTATGATTACACTCAATTTTTTAATGATTTCTAGCTACTTGGATTTGTCATATATTGCATCTAGGATATTTTCTCTACATTTATCCTCTATTGGTGTTGCATTTGATTTTATGTTCTTTGTGCACTCCGTCATGTCACATCTCTTTCAGTATATTCGCCCATGAATGAGTTTCATGGAAGAGGTTTAATGGAACAATTAGTTTTTGGAAAAACTCTCCGAGCGAGTTGTTTTAAGTTATCTGAGAGAATTCACTTTGGAGAGTTGTTTTTTTGGCTATTATTTTGGACAAGTTCAGCTATTGGATGAAGGGACAAGCAGACAATTGGGCTAGTTGAACTGCTCTACATGATGAGTTTAACTTTCATATGAATTCAGTTGTTCTAGTTATTCTCTAAGGTAATCGACAGTGAACGTGTTAGTTGCTCTCCTACACAAGCAGAAGAGTGGAGGAGCTAAGTCTCTCTCCTAGACAAACTAAGTTATGTTTATTGAACCTAGTGCAATATATTTTAACCAAAGATATTAATTGCTTTGATTTTATTATCTCTTTGAAATATAACTATGAAAATCATAAGATAATGATAAACATGAAAATATATTTTGTTCATCTTTATAAGATAAGTGTATATTCTATAGTCTATTTATTAAATATGCTTTCTTTTCTAAATATGAGTCAAAGAATTTCAAGTAAAGATGAGTGTTGTATTTCTTTATATGTTGACTATTCATCTACTTGAAGGTTTTTAACTCTTCTGCATATAATCATCCCGAGGCACTTTATCAGCTACAAGATTCTATCCTAGAGGCATTTTGGCTTACCTTTAGAGAGTAGTCTCATATATTGGCAACTCATCTTTATTATCTTATTTTTTATTTAATTATTTGTTTGTTGACTTGATGATCTTTTAAAATGAGTTTCCTGAGTGTTATTAGTGGACTTAGTTTTTATATAAGGAATTTATCTTTTTAGGTAACTAGATAGACCCTTTTGTTGAAATATAAGTCACTTATAAAGGAGATTATGATATTTCATTAAATTTGGACTATCCTTCACCTGGGGTGGTAGCTCTCCTACAAGGAGTAGTCACCATAATTCCTTAATTTTACCTAGGCTGAGATCTCATGGTCTTTAATCTATAGATTAATTGACTTCATCATTGAGTTAGTTAAGTTATATTTTAGAATATGTTTCTCAAGAGTCTATCAAAGCATTCAACTTTTAAGATGAGTAGGGTCTAAAAGTTCATACGATTTTCCATTGGTTCTTAGAAAACTTACTTATAAGAGTGAAATTACCTAAGTGTTATTGGCGAACTCATTCTATAAAACAAGTATGAATTGCTCATTATATATATTGAAAAATTTAACAAAAAATATAAATAAAATTAAATGAAAAAGAGAGAATTTTGAGAGATTTCCCCTTTATTAAACTTGTTATCAGTGGTTTCCCTATTGCTTAGCTCTACCACCTATCTAACTCCTCTTCTTCTAGGTAAATTATTTTTTTGAAGATAATTTTTTAGAACTCTCTTAGGAGAGCTATTTTGGGAGAACAAGCATGGCCGAGCTATATTCTTAGATGAATGGATGGAGAACAATTGGACAAATGAAAAAGTGTATGAGTGGTTGAATGGCCAAGCGTGTGAGTGGTTGAGTGGATGTGTTCAACTATTCTCTCGAACAAGTTCTCTAGTGTAGTTTCTATTTATATTTACTTGTCAATCGCTCGGTTCTGCCCCTTATGTGGCTCATCTTCTTTTTTTGTGATATGATATATACTCATCACACCTATTAAGGAGGTTGAATCATATTTTGTTTATGACATCACACCCAGGGAGTAGAATTAGTGTGGGAAGAAAGTGTGTTGTAGGGACTGGAAAAATAAGAGAGAATGTAGTATGAGTTTTTTTTATTTATTATTTTTCTAGAAATTGTCACTTTTTTTAAATTAATTCTCCCCCTTTATATTGGAATATTTTTCTTATAAAATCTACATAAAGTCTGATTACTCTCAAATTTAAAGGGATTTATGGCTGCTTGGACCTAGCGTATACTACCTTAGGTGTATATATTATATTATATATGGTATATTATCTTTTATTGGCACTATATTTCATATTATGTTTTATGTGTACTTGATCGCCTGGCTCGCAGTTACACAGTAATTTTAGTTCAGAAATATGGTCAAAAGCATGACCCAATTTATATTTTTAGTAGCTAGTGTGCAAAATTAAATATTATATTAAATTGTTAAATTGGTTTACACACTATGGGTACTACGCATGTATACGTATCGTTTTAAGTATTATAGGGCTCTATTGGAGTCTTAAGTATCGATCCCACAACAATAGACAAAACTCTCATAGGATTACTTTAGTAAAATATTCTTTAAATTGTAGTTAAATTATATAAAAAATGACAAAAAAAGTTTTTTTGTATTACCTAATCCTAATGAATTAAAAGGAATGTTAAGTATATTGAGTGATACGCTTAAAAAGTGACTACTTTTTCATATACATTTTATACTTATTTTTAATGATATTGCACTTTAAAGGAAGATATTATGTATATTTTTAGCTTTAGGTACAAAAAATAGACTTTTAGAGAAAAAATAAAAAAAAAATGGGCAAAAAAAGTGTAATTGGAGCCAAAAAGAGCAAGAAAAAAATTCTGACCTGACACATTTCGATATGTCTTTCTATGTTTCTTTCTATGTTTAATTTCTATGTTTAATTTTTTTTACACTTCTCACATATTTTTAAATGAAATTACACTTTAAATAAAAGTTATTTACGTGTTTATCTTGTATGTATATCTGTTAGGAGCGAAACACAACTAAAACAGAACGAAACGGAGTTGAAACAGAACAAAACGATCGAGCTGCTGCAGGATGGCGCTAGTGGTGTCAAAACTGGTGCCAGATTATAGAGAAGAGGAGCCAAAAGACGATTATGGACAGATTTTTGACAGTTTTTGACAATTTTGAGTTGTTCTAGAAGACTCTAAGTAGATCAAACGCCCTATGGAATGGTTCAATGAATCTAGACACTTGAGAAAGACTCTTGAATGAAGAGATAAGTCTTTTGGATGAATATATTTGTCTCTTGGAATGAAAAGACGTGTTTTTGAGAAAAAAAAATCTTTTTAAAATAGGGGGGCTGGCGCCTCTTATGGTGTGTGCGCGCGGGCGTGTGTTAGGAAAAACGAGAGGAATGCATAGAGATCATAGAATAGAAGTAGAAATGTAGATTTCTATCCTTTCTGGAGAGATTAGAGATGAGATTTTGGGAGAATCTGTAAGGAATTGTACTAGCATTGCATGGATCAACAAGAGACTTTGTGGGAGAGATCTTCATCTTTCTTTCAAAGGGAAAAAAATTAAGTATGGTATTCTTCATTATCTTATGATTTTGTAAACACTTATCTAGTGGATTTGTTTTGATGTAATGAAGTTTTACTTCGTGTTTTCTTCGTGTTTTGTGAGTAGTTTTTCTTACTATTTATTCTTGTTTGAAAATAGTGGCATGAGAAGATTATGTCGCTGTTTTCATTTTACTTTTCTTTTGCAATGAGTAGAATTCATGTTTAGGATTTTGAAATACATGTTAGATGAGATTTTAATTATAAATGTGATGGTTTTTACTTGAACTTTATTTACATTATAATAAGGATCCGTTGTAGTGTTAAAATTTGTTGTAATTGCATTAAGATCCCAGAGGGTGGTGCAATTATCAACAAAGTAGAACCACATTTGATTTCATGGATGAGAATGTAATTCTTGAGGCTGAGTGCAAATAAATAGAAAAATATACTTTGATGAACGTAGAATTGAAGATTTTAGGGTGAATTAAAATCTCCAATTTGGTCTAGTTGTTTAGAAACTAAAGCAAGATGTTAGCTGTTAGGGCAGGCGGAAGTGGAAGCTATGGAGTGAGAATCAGTGTCCTCACAGCCTAACCACAGATTTAGAGATCAAACACTGAATTATCCAATGTTCTTTATGCACTCGACAAATGTTAAAAAATTTGATTGCTCCCAATTGACATATACAATATATATTACATAACACCCTATTTACAAATCTAGCACCTTCTTTCATCCAATTTTCAATTTCTTACTCAAATATCAAAATTCATGAGAAAACCCCAACCCAATTTTTTGATCGTGTCACGCGTAAATACATTGTTTCGATAGTTAAACATATCTCTTGGGCGCTAGATTTTGTAAATAACAATGTTTGAAGTGCTAGTGTGCAATTATCCCTAAATTATAACTCTCTTTGGCAAGAGCGAATATTAGAAACGAGCATATCAAGGTACTAGGGTGTCATTGAGTTGGTATTGCACCTTAATACCATCCCAATACACCATAATACGACCAACATCACTCTAATTCCAACATACCACACTAATACTACTAATACTACTAATCTGCACCACCATGATTTTTTTTTAAGCCTACCGACTAATTTTTAACATACGAGCTCATTAAAATTAACATAAAAGAGAAAGCATTTACATACATACCATACAACTATAATATATTTACAAATTATTTATTTTTCATAGATTTTAAAAGTAAGTTTGTCTACCTACAAATTCCAATCCTATTAAACCGCGGATACGGTGAACCGCGCCAACTCAGATCGGTTCAGCTTGCCAAACAAACCACGGAACTCCCGCCCGGTTTTTTCCCATCCCACCGCCACACCCGTCGATTTCCTCACCAGAGAGAGAGAGAGACAAAAAAAAAACCCAAAATTAGGGCACGGATGCGCACCTCCTCTCCCGCTCTTTTTTCTTTTTGGGTAACCCTAACCCGATTACCCCTATTCCCCCTCCCCCAACCCCCGCCCCCCCCCCCTCTCTCTCTCTCCCCAACCAAACCCTAATTTCGAACCAACTCGAGTTTCCATCGAGTTCTGCTGCAGCCGCCGCCTCGCTTCCCCGGAGGAATAAACGTTTGATTTTGGTTGGTAAAGGGGGTGATCTGGCCCTGGAAGTTCGAGATCCGGACATCTCCTCCACGGGATCTGAAGAAATGGTGGTCAATGGTCGGCCGGTGAAGAGAGCGAAGCGCCGCATCACGGCGGATCTGTACGACTTCTTCTGACGCAGCTGCCGGCGATCTCGGCGGTCCGTTTCGGACAAACGTACAGGTCTTCCTCTCCCGACACGCCCGCCTTCTACCGCCGCCGTCGATCCTGGCTCCGTCGCCTTCTCAAGCTGGCCAACTGCTAACATGGCGAGTCGGATTTGGACTCGGGGACGCCGCCGCGTGCGACGACGTGGAGGCTTTATCGCCCGCCGGTTCTGCTGCAAAGGCTACGGTGGAGCTCGATGTTGTTGAGGAGGACGTATTCCGATCCAAATCGGTGTACTGCGATCACTGCCGAGTTGTGGGTGAGTCGGCGATTTTTACCGATTTTCTCGGCAATTAAGTTTTTTTTTTTAATTTTTTTTCTTCTGTACGTAATAGTAATTGTTGTGTCGTGACTGCTGGTTGACCTGCTGCACGTGGAATGGAAATAGCGCTGCTCCTTTTTTTATTTAGCAGGATATTATTACAATAAATTGGGGGCATTTGCATACATGGCACACAAGTTCTATCTATTTACATATCTCACACATCAACTTTCATATTTGCATAAATAACACTGAAATCTTTTAATAACAATTCCATTTTCATGCATGCAAATGTGAAAGTTTAGGTGTGAGATACAAAAATAGATAAGAATTGTATCCACATGTTCAAATTGGAACGCCAGACATCATGATTCTGAAAGCTTCAGAATAAGAAGACAAAACAAATACGAACTCTCCGGGGAAGGAAAAGATCAGGCTTGAAACAGAATACTGAAAGAGAGTTTTTTTTTTCATGGCTCAAGAAGGAAACGAGCAGAATCCAAATATACTTTCCTGCAATAGAGCTAATCTGAAGTGCTTGCAATACAGATAAAACTCTTAAGAAGTATTATGAACATGAATGATTGCAGATCATCGTATGAGAACAAGACCAATAACAGTAAAAAAAAATATTATTGGGCTCATCCATACTTTATCCAACGTGAAAAAGAGGCAATATAAATAAAGAAATAAAAGTTTGAAGAGGAAATGTTAATGAAGTGAAATTCTCCAAAATCTCAGAAAATCATAACACTTTTGTATACTTGCATCAGATTATGAGCTTACTAATCCTGCAAATTCCATCATAGATATTATGAAAAGAGGATCTGCTAACTTAGTTCTAATATGATATACATGGTATTCAAAATATCTGTTCTAGAACTTAAGAAAATGATTAGTCAATGCTCAATGCACAAAGAGACAAATCTGAAGAGATGTATAAAAACTCAAGAAACATGGTTTAACTTAAAAAAAAAATCATAGAAAATGTGAATGAAGAGGAGAAATCATATGGAAATGATTCATCAATACCCAACATGAAAAAGAGAATTATACAAAGTCCTATGAAGGAGCTAAAGAGAAATTGATAAAAATCGGCAGGAAATAAGAATGAAGAGGACTTCTCCAAATTCTTTAAAAAACAATCATAAATTGTAAAGTAGTATAAATTTGCAACAAGAGATTCAAAATAAACCACAATCAATCTATTCTCAAATTCTGCTTTCAGCATAATACAACAACAACAACAACAACAATTCTTTAGCGGACTACGTGAGGTCGGCTACATGAATCCTTTTTTAGCTTAATAAGCTTGCAAATAATATCACAAATTTTTTGGATAGAGGATCTGCTTTTAATAAAGATTATATTATATCTTTCCAGCCGGAATTGACAAACTGCACATTGCTCAACAGATCAAGTTCGTGAAGAACATATATCAATGTGTAAAACTAGTTTCTCATAAATGAACTCTTGAGAGAAATCAACCTGCCCTACTTGGAGTGATTTTTGATCGGCAAGCCCTTCTTCCACTGATTAGTGGATAGTTCCTACAATCAAATTTTTTAATGATTTTTTAATCTAATAAAAATGAAAACAAATAATCATAATTTTTAAAAAATGTATCATTTAAAATTATGTAAAATGACACTTTGACACGTGATAGAAAAGTTAAATATAAGTCATGACCGTCAAGATGATCATCATCATATATCACATGAAAGAAGAGGCAGTACTTTAATCAGTTATTTAAGTTTTCTGGCTTGGGAGACATTTGATAAAATTGGAACGATACAAAAAAGATTGGCATGACTCCTACGAAAGATTAATTAATTGGAAGAGGTGATACATAGAAGATGGGTACCAAGTTGGGCAAAAGGATTGGATACAGTGGACGTTTTCCATTCTGAAGGCGAAAACTATTCTAGCTTTATGATTAGTTTTGCTTTCTTATTATTCTAGTTGTTTCATTTCATAATAATTTGCCGTGAAATTTCTTCTTTTGATTATACAGACTTTATTGTGCTACTGAGTTTTCTAATAGATGAGATTCAAATGGACCATAATGGATGCTGCAAATGGAACATCTACTGATTTAATTTTTCTCTATTACTTCAAAAATGATGCCTTTTTTTAAATTATTTCTTTGATTTTTTTTCTTCATATTTTAGGCTTGCCTTTGTAACTTGTATGCTTATTGGATCAGGTTGGAGTTATCACCCAGTATGCAGGAAGCGTTATCACTTCATAATCCGGAATAATGCTAATCCATTGTCTTCCTCACATCAGAAGTGCTTGTGTTGTGGAGCATTATTGCAGAGGATGGATTCACGGTGAGAAGTTGAATTTTCATGCATTGCTACCTCCGTTTTAGTGCTCCATTCGGTTGACTAATAGCTGGGTCATAATTTGACCTGATTCACTCACTACTAGGACATAATTTTAGAGCAGTTTTCTGCTGATTTGGGAGTAAGTGTGAGACTTAGGAAAGGTATCATTTTGTAGAGATCAAAGTACTTTTGTTTATAGTAACACTAATTTTTCAGATATTTGGCCTTCTTTTTTTTCATTTTTTTAGGGAGTAGAACATTTTGATTGGTTGTATCTTATAGCCCGTTTCAGCAAAGTAATTTTTTTTATTACCATATGAGCAATTTGTATCATGAATATTTTGTTTAACTTTGCATTCCATTAAATCCTTGGCCATTGTGTCGGTTTTCGAATTAATATTTTTTTTAAACCTGGTTATTGTTGTTGAATTAGAAAATTGAGTTGGATGAAGTGGTTCTTTAATGAAAGGGTTGTGTCTGATGAAGTATGTATCTGATTCTATTGTGAACTTGTATATATGAAGAAGTGTGTATTTTGAATGGTTGTCACAGATTTTGACAATGAGATCCTACAGCTTTTAGGCCTGAATTTTTAACTGGACATTCTTTTAATTTTTTTTTAACTCATTCATTCTTGGCAGCCTGTATGAAACTTTTGAAAATTCAATTTGGATGATATTAAAGAAATCAGGTTTATATTTCTTCCTTTCCTTGATTATCTTTCTTCAGCATGCATTTTGAAAAATGAAGATGGTGAAAGTAAATGTTGGCTATTTGTTGTGTCTTCATTTCGATTTCCATGAAAATGCATCCAAGGACTTTGGCTTCGTGCCAGCCCTATGCTTTTGTATTTGTCATCTTAACACTAATATATTCCATTGTGTGCCAATAAGTGCAAAACAATCTAGTACATGTTTCAGATTTATTTTTTACTGGCTCAGTAGCTTTGCGCGAACATAATTGTAATGCCAGGAAAGTATATATATATATGTATGTATGCAAATTCAAAGCCTGAAACTTCTTCAGGTAAATTTGGTTATTGAAATTCAGAGTTCATTCTTGTGTTAAGTCCAGACATCTGTTCCTTATGGCATGAGGGGACATTAGAGATTTCTTGTGCTTTTGGTTTACCAGGCAGTTTCTTTTTTGAATGGACCTAGTCTTAAAGGTGGTGTATATATTGGTTTTCTTACTACATGGAAAATTCACACTAACAAACTGGAGTTTCCTCTCATATCATTTGGTGATATCATAAATTGTAAAACTCTGGTTGCAGGTATTTAATGGAATGAAATGTCAATTGAAATGTTTTAGAGTTGTTTCAGACGCCAGTATCATCTTCAATTTGAATACTTTTTGGCTGAAAAAAAAAAATGCTTTATGAGATGAACCATGTCATGGAGATCTTTACAGGCCCTCATGAAACATGATTCTGTGCAAAAAAATGATGGTTGCAGAGTTAGTCGACTAATGTTGATTCTTAAGGCGCTCCTGGACAACTCTGTCTGGTTCCTTCTAGTTTCTGTTATATTGTAAAACTGGCCATTGGTTTTACAACAATATTTCATACTATGATGGTCACTCATTGCGTACCTCAAGTAAATTGAATATTAGTTTCTCAGGTTGAAAATTCTGTTCTATCAATGCAATTTGCATTTTTTCTTTAATATTTATGGTTACCACAGGCTAGCATTTTTGAAGAAGTAAACTGTGCTTGGTTTTTTAGTTTGAATGGAGTATATGTCATCAATGTTCTAAACTGGAGGGCCATTAATCTAAAATTCAGGCTCATTGTTAGTGGCTAGGCATGTTAGCCATGATAAAACAGTAAATTCTTTCACCAGTTCTTTATTTATATCAAATTTATCATTTTTCTGAATCAGCAAAATGATATCTGTTGAGCTCATCTACTTTGTGTTTTTCAACTATTACAGGTGTCATTCATGCAACTATGATGTTACAGCTGAAAGCATGGAAGATTGGGCTCATCATCAGCTGGAAGATCCGACGCATTTGCTGCATGGATTAGTGCATGCTAATGGCTATGGGCATCTGCTTAGAGTGAATGGCAGAGATGGTGGTTCAAGGTACTTGACAGGATCTGATATTATGGGTTTCTGGGACCGATTGTGTAGAATGCTTCGAATCAGGTATGGAAGAAGATTTTAATTTTTTTTATCTCTGTTTGTTTAATTTATTTTATTATGTTTTCTGCAACTTATTTTTAGAAGAATTGCATATTGTTTTAGGAAATTTTACTTGCATGCCACTCAATTCCTATTCATTTACATATCTAACAACAAAATTACAACTCAATCCATGCATTTACATATGGAACACCTAACTTTTAACATTTACATTCATACTACCTTAACTATGCATGAAAATGTGTATTTTAGAATGGTGATATTTTTGATGTGATATGAAAGATTTGGACGTTGTAAGTATAAGAAAACATAGGTTAGATTTAGAAGTGTAAATACACAGAAATTTCTTATGTATGTAAATGGCCCATTAGCTTATTTAAACTGGTTCGTGAGATTTCGAAACTAAGGTAAAAATAATGTTCCAAGTGGTGTAAGCATAAGATGAGGCATTTTTGCTGTCATAAAATAGCGGCCTAAACCACATGTTTTTAATATATATATATTTTTATTTAACATGATTAAAAAACATATGTAAGAATTAATTAAAAATAGAATATTCCAAAATTGGTACTCCTTGATTGGATATTTTAATTTCAAATTAAATTGACATGGCTATAAATACATCGAAATGACAAAATTGGGAACATGTTGGCAACGCAAAATGAAGATTGGCAAGCGAATTATCGAATTGAAGGTTGGCTTCCAGTGTTTCTAAATAGACTTCTGGGGCTTAGATTTGAGTACTAGAATTAAAATTAGCGGGAGAAAAGCTATATTCTCTTAAGAGGAGATGGTCCAGCAGCATAAGAAAGAGGAGGTTTTAAAGTAAAAGCTATAGGATTTCACTGTAGCAGGTTTTGAGTGCAGAAAATCGTCTAATTTGCATCAACTTGTGTATGCATTGGTCCTCCTAGGCTCTTCCTACAAGCCACTAAGCGTAAAATGTTTACAAGTGAGTTACGTGTATGAGAAAAGCACATGTGAGAACCATTGGTTGCTACAAATTATACGAGTACTTGATTTGTAGTTGACTTGCTTAGAAGTCCTTACTTTGGTTCCTATGCTTGGAAAACTTTTCTTAAGCTTTGTTGTGGCAAGTACATCCTGCCGAGTTTATCATGGGGCTAGCGAGTTCACTTTATGTTCAGCTGCTAAGTTCATAATGCTCTGGCCTAACTTGTGTGAACTTATCTCAGGTCGGACAGGTTCATGTTGTAAAACTATGTGGTTCAACTAGTGTTAGGCAATTTTGTTGAATTCAAATGATTGATATGAGTGGCAGGCACCAAAACAATTGAGATAATATGATATTTTGTGATACAATGGTTGGATGAGAAGTGGAATTTCTCAAATAAGAAGAGGCATCCAAGAGATCCTTAATTTGACAAAAACATAACATGATATAGAGGGGTCTTTACATTCATTGCACACAATTCTTGTGCATTTAGATATCTTACATTCTCTGAAATCTTTAATATCATATCAAAAATAGCAGTTACAACTTTTATGTGAAATGCACCCAAAAGTGTTATGTATATGAATTTTTGAAACATATAATGTTGTGGTCGTACAAGTTTTTAAATTAAAGCTAATCTTTCATTCTAAAATTATAATATTTTGGTGCTTTTACAAATTATATAATTACAAATATTATATGAGAAGTAGCATTCGTTATCACATTTTATTAATCAAATTTACCTTTTCATCCATAGGCGAATGCTGTGTAAAAATTTGTAGGTGTGAGATAGGTAAATTCATAAGAATCAGGTGTTATGCATGTAATTTTTCCTAATTTTTTTTTTATGTAATTTTTTATTTGGATAAAATTTTATAGTTAATTTTGATTTATATTATTGTAATTACATTAAATTTTATTAGCCATAAAATTGATCTTAATTAAATTTAGGAGCTTCATTTTTAATAATTTTAGTTTATATTGACCCTATTTTTTTGTTTTAGTTTTTATATCAAGCCAATTCTATTTGATCCTTTAAAAAGAGATTGGCATGATAACTGACCGGCAAATTTGACTTTTGACTGCTAATTATTGAACAAGGGATAGATGGTAATTAGCAACTTTATTGATAATATTTTGTCCCATTAAAAAAAAAACGTTTTGAGTTATTAGATTGCAATATAAATATTATCGCTTGTTAAATACTTACTAAAAATCTATAATATATCCTTATTATTGAATATAACTTTATTTTCCTTTATTATTATTATTATTAATTAAGTAAAAGCTAAAGCCCGTGTATTAAATGCTAGGTAGCTTGTCATCCCTGCGTTGAGAGGTCACAAATTTTGGAGATATCTCAACTCTCAGTTGCGGAAAAAATATTGCATCATGACTTTACTTGTAGAGTTACGCTCGGAATCTAATGAAATTATGCTATGAAAGTGATTAGTTCGTTAATACCAGAGAATATTCCTCTCGTATTATTCAGATATTATTGTGTTATTTCAGTATTATTAATGTATTATTATAATATCAAAATATTTTCAGAATACAATAACATCTGAATAACACAATAACACAAAAATACTAGTATTACCGGTCATATCATCTTCACGGTATAATTTTATTGGACTCCGCACGCTCCGCACGTAGCTCTACGTGCGGAGTCCTGATGTAATATTTTTTCCAGTTGCGGGAGCATGTCAGTTATTAGATTTATAATATTATTTCATGCATTAAATATTTATACTAGGAATTATGACAGTTATTATTTGCAATATATGCTTATAAATATATTATCCTTTAGTGTTTATATTTATATATATATTATTAACGGGCAAAATTTCAAGATAATTTCAAACTCTAAACCATAAATGTGTCTTAAATAGGAGAAAAAGGTTTAGGGTCTAGGGTAGCCTAGACGTACATCTAAAGCGTCTCATTAAATTTGTTTGATTTAATTATTTATTAACTCGGGAAAGTGATTCAGATTTTATAATATAAATGTCTTAAAAAAACCACCAATCAATTTATTAAAGAAAAAGGTTGCTGCTAAGCAACATCACCTGGTTCATAGATTTAAATTTCCTCTTAAACTAGTTAACATCTGTAAGCCCTGGTTGTAGCTAATTTTACGCATGTAGCCTGCATCACCTGCGTTGGAAGTAGTTCGATGCTATACCTGTCGCAATCATTTAATATTTGCAAAATCACTTGGTCAAGAACTGAGCATCATTTGTCAAAATATTTAAAAAAAAAAAAATTGCAGGAAAGTTACAGTTATGGACATATCTAAGAAACATGGGATGGAGTACCGCCTCCTGAACGCAGTGATTTTTGGCCAGCCATGGTATGGGAATTGGGGCTATAAATTTGGAGCAGGCAGTTTTGGAGTCACCTCAACAGCCTATGAAGAAGCTATCAACACCCTATCCAATCTACCCTTATCCATCTTCTCCCACTCCAGATCTCAACACACCACATTACACAACACGGTGGCATTATATTGCTCCGTTTCTGACAAACAATTGCTTACCTTAAGGGACCTTCTCACCTACATCAATCAGCTTCAAGCCTCTCATGAACGCCAACACCCTATTTCTTCCCCAAGGAAGAAATTTCAACGAATTGTTTCGATGGGGGCTTTGAGCTCATGGTCTAAGCAGGATATCGAGAGAGCGGAGGAGGTCATGGTGAAGGTTCTTCGGGCGGTTGGGAGATCACAATGGGTTGCTTGGCGAGCCCTAAAAGGCGCCGCAAGTGGCTCGGTGGAATCTCCGGGACTCCTCGATTGCTGTCTTAAAGGGCTTAGTGGCAAGCTCACGGATGACCAATTGGTAGTCCAATCACGGTTCAACGATGAGACAAAATTCCATTGAATTCAGGCCATTTTTTTTTTTTTTGGTCATTCAAAATCCACAATTCTATTTCTATCCTAAAGTTTAAGTTTTGACTGTTTTGCCACATTGCAGGCTTGAATCTTATGATCAATTGATTGCTGATGTGCAAAGGAGAGTTGTTAAATTGTCTTCTGATCATCTCACAAGACACTTGAAATACTTATATGATGGAATGCTTGATCCAACAACCATGATACAGTTTAAGCATAAGGAAGCACGGGATTCTATTCTCCGTGCTGCGAGAAAAATTCTGGACTGCAAGCATTTTGTCAAACATTATGATGAACATTTTAAGCCTTTGTCGCCGTCTTCAAATCCACATGAATTGCATATTTGGTGTAAGGTGGAGCTATTTGATGAGCCTGCAGACTACACTTCTCCTCCGCCCGAACTCGTGGTTTTGCCAGCCAATGCCACCATTGCTGACCTCAAGTTGCAGGCTACAAAAGCGTTCAGGGAAACTTATATCGTCTTTCAAAGGTTCCAACCTGAGCAGGTGGTGGGATACAACAAAGTTCTGGAGCCTAAGATCAAGCAACTAATGGATGAAAATGGTGTGGTGGTGATTAGGGGAAGGTGTCTGGCAGGAGATGGCAAGCTGGGCAGATTCAGGATGGAAAGGGGAATTGAGAGTTGGGAGGTGGACTGCACCTGCGGAGCAAAGGATGATGATGGCGAGAGAATGATGGCGTGCGATGTGTGCGGCGTTTGGCAACACACGAGATGCACTGGAATTGATGATGAGGAGAAGGTCCCAGATAAGTTCATTTGTATAAAGTGTACAGGATGCTGCTTAACTTCGCCGACGATTGGAGACTAGATGTGAAAAATCTTTCTGATGGAAGGGGGTAATGAAAAATGATTAAATTTTAGTAGAAGAATTAGTTGGGGGGGTACCTAAGGGAGAGCTTGGGGCTGTAGTTTGTTTTGCTGCTCCTGTTGTAACTACATAACATGACTTGGGGGCTGCTGCTCCAACGGGAACTTTCAGCAATAGTTTTTTGCTGGGCTTAGATTTCTTTCTATGTTTGGACATGCGCCATAGATTTTGACTATGAAGTGTATAAAGGAAAATTTGAAAATCAACCAAATGTCTAAAATATCTTCTTTTTTTTTTGTTTTTGGTAAGATATGCAGCCCTACATTTAGCATATAGAGAGTAAAGTATTTTATACTTTTTAACATGTATGATGAACAATGTTAACCGTTTTATGGATTCACCAAAAGGACAGGAACGGTTGTAATTAAAGGCATCTGGTGCATTTACCTGGTGATCGGATGCTGCTACAAGCATAAACTCCGTTGGATGCCAGATTGTGGTCATCAGCTTCGTTTGATTGAGACCTATTATATTTCAAAAAAATAATTATAAGAAAAAACATGTGTTGGTAACATTATCACAACTATTAAGAATAGCTACTTAATATTCTGTGTCGATCAACAATGGTCGAAGGGTATGTTCGACGACGAAACTCTTGAATGAAAAGAAATTTGTTTGGTAAAGTTACACAAATATTATTTAATAGCTAATTGTTAGTCTGAGATGATCACACACTCCTGCAAGTAAATTAAACCACCAAACGCTCAAATGGTGATTATTAAAAAGACAATCAATATTCTGAAGTATAAAGCTTGGAAGTAAAACTTATGGTAGTAGAGTTGAGTGCCAAATCTCCCGGAAAAGGGAGAAAATGCTCACAGATAGTATGTTTATATTCAACTCAATTTAAAGAGCTTGTCTTCGGCTTGAATTTAGCTCACAAATAGTCTGCTGCCTAAACCTTAACATCACTGCAACATGCCAACTCCACTAATAGAAATACTTTTCTTTTTAAAGAAAAAGGTTTTATATATAAGTTGTTGACCAATCAAAGGGTCCTAATCAAATTATTGCAGGCAAGTACAAAAAACCTTCAATCTTCATTTAAATTACAACAATAACAACAAGCCTTTATCCCACTAAGTGGGGTTGGCTACATTTTTCTCCACTGAATCCTATTGAGTGTCATATTTTCATTTAATTCTAATAGATTAAGATAATTTTTTTATACAATATACTCTAAGTTTTTTTAGGTCTAACTCTACCTTTTTAAACATGAATTGAACTCAAATATCTACTGTCCTAACCAGGCCATCGGATAATCGATATTTAATGTGACTAAACCATCTAAGACGGCTTCCTTTAACCTTGTCAGCCACTAGAGGTACATCAACCATTTCAGGGATATATTTGTTTTGCATTTTGTCTCTAATTGTCAAACCACTCATCCACCTAAGCTTTCTCATCGCAAAAACACTTAAATTTGTTTTATGCTTCTCTTTTAAAGACCAACATGCTGTGCCATAAAGCATTACAGGTCTCACCAGCATCTTATAAATTTTTTCTTGTCTAAATAGTACTTTTCTAGCACAAAATAGGTCTGATACGTTCCTCAACTTCAACCAACCAAACTAAATTCTACTAATAATATCCTCATCTACTATATCACCATGACTTTGAACAATAGTCAGGTATATCTAAAACATTAACACCTTTTAATGAATTGATCACCCATTGTTGTTACAACCCATTGTTACAACTCTATCACTAGAGTTATTACTACTAAAATTACATTCCATGTATTCAGTTTTAGATTTACTCAAATGAAGGTCTTTAGACTCCAACATAGACCTCTATAACTCGTTTTTTCTGAACTCTTTCTGTAGTATTATCCACAAGAAAGATATCATCAACGAAAAAGAATACACCAAGGTACAACCTCATGTAAATGTTCAATATGAGCATCCATTACTAAAGTAAAAAGATATGGGCTTAAAGCTAATCCCTGATGTAATCCAACTGAAATAGGAAAATAGTCAATCCTCCTATTAAAACAAAAGTAACAAATCTAATATACATATCTTACTAAGTTGAATATTAAGTCATATCAACACCTTTCTTTTGTAGAACTATCCAAAGAACTTCTCTTGGAACCTTATCTTAAGAATCTTCTAAATTAATAAAAAACATATGATAGATCCTTCTTACTCTCTCTATAATTCTCCATCAAACCTCTCAATAAATGCATAGCTTTCATAGTAGACTGGCTCGACATAAATCCAAACTAATTACAATAAATTTGTCACTTCTTAACCTATGTTCAATAATCGTCTCTCATAATTTAAAACTATGAAACATTAGCTTAATTCCTCTATAATTTGCATACTATTGTACATCCCCTTTATTCTTAAAAATGAGAACCAAATTACTCTTTCTCCACTTCACTGACATCTTTTTAGTTTTTAAACTAATATTAAAGAGTTTAGTAAGCTGATATTTCTACTCTTCAATTGAGATATCATCAGATCCTATTGATTTTCCATCCTTGATTTTCTTTAAAACCTCCTCAACTTCCTTTTTATTAAGGCAACGATAAAAAAAAAAATTGTATTATTATTAACGATATTATGATAACTAAAGTGGTTGTATTTTCAAAAACTGTATTGAAAAGTTAATCAAAATAACTCCCAAACATATGTTGAATATCTTCCTCTAAGAAAATTTTTTCCCATCTTTAAGACACTTTACTTAATTAAATCTTTGTTTTTCTTTTCTCTTTGTTTGACTAGTTTATACATATATTTTTCAACATCTTAAGTGTCTAATTTATTATAAAGATCACTAAAAATATAATTTTTAGCGTCACAAATTATTCTCCTAGACTCCCTACGGACCACTTCATATTTTTTCTCAATTCTCTAAGCTTTAACATTTAAACCAAAAATTATTACACTTCTTATGTTTTATCTTTTCTTGCACAATATTATTTTACCACTAACTATTTTATTTATTTAAGCTTTTCCTTTTGATTCTCCAAGCACAACTTTTGCCATTTGTTTAATAGTGTTTGTTACTTCATCCCATATAAAATTAGCTTCTTCATGAACATTTCCAATCTTGAGGTTTACTCATAAAAAAAATATTTATCTTTTAAATGCCCCCATCTAATTTTATGAGATTGTTTTATTATATTATTTATCTTATAACTCTTCATCTTAAAATTCAAAACTAAAAATTGATGTTAAGTACTTAAATTTTCACTTAGAATGACCTTACAATCTTTACATTCTTGACGATCTGTTTTATTCTCATAAGAAAATAAAGAATTTGTGTTTTATGATATCTATTCTAATAAGTAATAATAGACTCATCACTTTTCTCAAAAAAAGTATTAGCAATAATAAAATTATAAGTTACAATAAAATCTAATATAGTTCTACCTTCTTTATTAATCACTCCAAAATTATAACCATCATGAATATTTCTAAAATCTTCTACCACTATAGCCACATGTTCATTTAAATCTCTTCAAATAAAAATTCTTTCTTGAAGATGTATCATTTGTATTAATTCTTCTAAATCGTTTCAAAATTTTTCTTTTGAATCTATATCTAAACCTATTTGAGGAGCATAAACACTTAAAATATTAAAAATCTTAGTATCAACAACAATCTTTAGGACAATAATTTTATCTCCTATCGAGCTCCTCATTCCAAAATATAACCTCCAAATTAGGCATGCAAAATATATGCACTACATCTTGTGGAGCATTTGTGTAAATGGTATCTAGCTGGGCAATTCATAGGGTTGCAAAGCTGGCCATCCATTTTGCCATCAATCATTGACAATTAGTGTACCCAACGGGTAAAAATAACTTATAGATTTTTAGAAAAATAAATGTGCGGAACCTATAGAACATATTTTATCTCCAATTTAACTATTAGTTTCTACATGTAGAAATTGCCAATTATAAATTTATAATCTAGAATCCCATCATAAATAATGGAATAAAACAGTCAACGAAATGCACATAAAATTCAAATTATTTCTCCTCTCTTCAAATACAATATATTAAGGCGCACTTTCTATCTTCGAAGGAGCCACAGAAAAAAAATAATAAAAACATTCAATATTAAGTGCTTAGTCTTAGCATAAAACAACCTTCCTTTTAGAATGCATTTGGATATGATTGAGAAATTACGAATTAGTTTTTCAATGCTTATGATTTAGGTTTTGCATGTGTTGGCTAAAATTTCTAAAGACAGATGAATGTAAGTATAATAATAATCAAATAGATTAACTTGTCAACTATCTTTCGAATACTGACATGATTCACCTAACAACTCTTCATTAACAGTATTAGTTCAAGTTTCCACAAGGGTATAAACCGGCTTACAATTAAGAAAGCCTAATATTTAAAAAAAATCATTATCATATTTTCTTTGAGATAGCCATACTCTTTTTGTTGTATAAATCGATTTGCAGCTAAGAAGGCCAAATATTTAAAAGGATCATTATGACGCTTGTAATGCGCTTGTTTTCATTAACAAAAATAGCAAGAATAATAGAATCCAAGGTAGCATGTCAAACAATAAATGCGTCCGTGATACCATTAAGAAGGCCAATATATAGCATAACTGAGTAAACATAGAAAATTTTTTACATGATCAACATATTAGCAGTGACACCGTTAAGAGCACTAGAACGGTGTCACTACTAATACGTTGATCAAGTGTGTTATGGAAGTTGTAGGATGTGTAACGGAAGTGGAAAAATGGATGACGGAAGAAAATCGGTGTAAACGGTGGATGAACAGCAAACAAGAACCGGGAAAATAACAATTTTCGGCTGTAAACCAGACGGCGGTGAGTGTGACAGCTGCCCAGCTGAAAACAAAGAGTGAACGGTGAATCGACAAGAACCTGCTCCTAGGCAAGCTACGAATGCACCACTTGCAATAAAAAAAAAATACTACAACACTTCAGAGAGCAAAAAATAGAGAAAACTCCCTCACAAATCATAAAATCCAAACAGCCCTAGGATAATATATAAAGAGTTTCTTAATAGAAAATTAAGACTAGAGAAATATGTAAGAACCAAAAATGGAAGAAGGAAAGCAAACATGCTAAGAATAAATAAAATAAATAACAATAAAAATAGATTTCAGTGTTTTCGGAATTCTTGTGATTGTGATAACCTGTCAGAAGCATAGTAATCTCGTAGCCGCAAAAT